TTTACTTAACACTTAATATTAAGAAAAAAACGTTTACATTAGCGACTTAATTACTTAATATTAAGTGTTAACTCAATACTTAATTTTTAATATTAAGTGTTAAACGAAACACTTAATTTTTTAAATTAAGTATTGCTTTAACACTTAATATTAAGTAATTAAGTGGGCAATCTACACATTTTTTTCTTAATATTAAGTGCTCTAGCAATACTTAATTTTTAAAATTAAGTGTTTCGTTAACACTTAATATTAAAAATTAAGTATTGCGTTAACGCTTAATATTAAGTAATTAAGTCGCTAATGTAAACGTTTTTTTCTTAATATTAAGTGTTAAGTAAAACCACTTAATTAACTCTCTTAATTAACTCAAATTAAAATCAACGGTCCACCTCTACTTTAAGTTACTATTGAGATTACACTAAATTCGTTCGTGCTTGTTGTGGATAAGCGATATGTATCTTAAAACTCCATACTATGTTCTATAATACTAGAAGTGCTGTTTTAAACACTATATTACATCGGCCAGCACTACGACGCTTCGCTCGGTACTAAAAAATCTAGAAACCAATTTTCAAAAAAATTCGTTTTTTCTCAGAGTTTAATGAATTTGTATAGAATTGGTCCGAAAGTCCGGCCCGAAAATTCCGTGGGCCGAAATTCATGTAACCCCATGTTTTGAGAAAATATTTTTTTTGCCTATGTCTTTCCACACTTTACGTGGATTTTCCCCTTCTATCCGTTTCTTCTGAGATCATAGAAAGAATTACTCAATAGGAAATTCAGAGTTGCAATTAGAATAGTTCATAGATGTCCTTTTATTTCTGCAGAAGACCTGTTCACACTAACGAAAGAAAACCACATGGAAGTGTATGTTAAAAGATATCTAAATAAAAGATTACAAAAAATCTACAAGACAGATCTAAGACGCTCAGGCTTTCTGGAGGATATATTTTATTGGGATGGTTTTAAAAAGTGAAAAAGGCTCGTTAGGACATTTCTTCAGACAAAAAAGAGTAAAAAACCTAATTAAGAGACACAAGACGTTACTGATTAAATGGTTGAACTTTATATAAGAATAAATGTTATACCACACCCTACACGGCACCATATAAAATTTAACATTATGGGGAAAGGAAAACGGAATGGTAGAAATTGGACCAGCTATGGCAATTAGAATCACTTACACTTGTTCCTCTCTTCTCCCTGTCTATTCTATGTAAGCACTCCAGAGTGTAACATAAATAAACAAAGCATATTCTAAAACAAAATGCATCAGTTCAATTGATCGGTGTTTTTAAGATCATCTAGTAGTTCTATATTCTTCAAAAGTTATCAAATTTTTGAAATAACTATCAGTATAATTTGATAGCACCATATTCCGATTTATTTGTTTCTCCAAAAAAATTAATAAAAGAAATTTTTCTAAATTAATTAGCCATTTAAATAATTAGCAACTAAATGGTCGTATTTTCTTTTCGAATTCATCTTTGTTGAGAAGCTACCGTCGATATAGGATCGGTTACAAATCATACTTTGATATGATCAAATATCTCTCTTTAAGATAAAAATCTATAAAAAAATGTTTTAAAGAGAATTTTTTTTTTCAGATAAGCCATTATCAAACTAAACAATGATAAGGACAAAAATAAACAACCATGTATGTCAGAAGAAAATAGAGACGATCTTATCTTTACTTGTGTCGAAAGAGAAATGCCATAAGCACATTTTCATGTAAAAAGTACTGAACTCACTAGAACGCATCAATAAAGATACTAAGTAAAAAATGAGTGGAATTGAAGAAATCGAATTTAGTAGCAAACCATTTAATGAACCGAACGCAGCCACTGAGTCAACAGAAGACATTGATGAAATTGAACCAACAGCTGAAGAGTTGACAAGATTAAAACACGTTTCTGATCAAATACCGTTAGCAGCTTGGCTAATTATTGTATGCGAATTTTGTGAACGTTTCTCCTTCATAGGACTCACTGGTCCCTTTCAGAATTATATTGAATTTCCAATACCTATATCGAAAGGTAAACAGTCGGGTGTCCTCGGCCGTGGACATCGCACTGCTACCTTATTAACAACGTTATTTCAGTTCTTCTGTTATTTGACGCCTATATTTGGAGCTATTCTAGCTGATCAGTTCTGGGGTAAATACAAGACAATATTCTTTGGATGTGTGGCTTATATGATAGGTCTGCTGGTTTTGGTCTTGAGCAGTATACCGCCCTCGATTAACGCAGGCCTTGCTTTTCCTGGTTTGATCGTGGCGATGTTAATTATAAGTTTTGGCACTGGTGGTGTGAAAAGTAATGTTAGTCCATTGATGGCCGAACAATATACCAGAACAAAGCCAATAGTCAAAGGTAGCAATTAGATTCTTTTTAATAGTGAAATTTATCTCGTTGTTGTTGTTGTTGCAGAAATCAGAGGTGAAAAGAAAATTGTTGATCCGACAGTGTAAGTTTATCGTCTAGCCAATTTATCTATTTCTTCGATTGAATTATTCTTGTTCTAGAACAGTGCAGTCAATGTTCAATTGGTTCTACTGGTCTATCAATTTAGGTGGACTGTCAGCAATCATTACGACCAATATCGAAAAGTATCATTCGTTTTGGCTTGCCTATTTCCTGCCAATGATAATATTTACCGGCTCCATTGCGGTTCTAACATTTGCTCGCCATCGATACATTCGAAAAGCTCCGACGGGTTCATTGATTATTCGTGCATCTCGCGTGATAACAAGAGCCATTCAAATGCGTAGGAAGCTAAGTAAAGAAGTAAAATATCAACATTTTTTAGATTACGCTAAAGAAAATCCACTATCCTCTACACATGACGATACCGAATCGGTGATAGAATCAAATAACCGTCAATTCATCGAAGATTTGAAACAAGCATTGAGGGCTTGTCGTGTCTTCGCTTTCTATCCGTTCTATTGGATCTGTTACAATCAATTAGGAGGTAATATGGTATCGCAAGCCGCACAAATGAATGTTGGTGAGTTCGAAGATTGCATTGGAATTATGTGAAATGAGTAGTTGTGGTTCAATGAGTAATTCATATATGTTTCTCTAGGTCCTTTACCCAATGATCTCTTGCAAAATATTGATCCAATCGCTCTGCTCATTTTTATTCCAATATTTGACAAACTCGTCTATCCTACTTTACGACGATTAAACATTAAGTTTGGCTCGATATCTCGTATTACGTGTGGATTCTTTTGTATTTCCATCGCTATGGCATGGACTACACTTGTTCAACATTTAATTTATGTGTCGGGTCCAAACTTCAACTATACAACCAAACCGTGTCCGACATGTCAAACATTTAACAATATCACTGTTGCTTGGCAAATTCCATCGTATTTTTTCATTGCCATCTCAGAGATCTTTGCGTCTATTGCTGGTATCGAGTACGCTTTCACACATGCACCATCATCGATGAAATCTGTTGTTATGTCATTTTTTCTATTCACATCTGCGATTGGTAGTGCCTTGAGTTTTGCACTTCTACCAATAACTGTTGATCCAGATTTGATGTGGATGTATGCATCATTATCAATAGTGTCGTTTTTTGTTGGTATTATTTTTTTTCTTCTCTTTCGAACAGAATAGAAGTAACACGAAGATAAATACGCCAACAAATAAATTACGTCGGTCCTTAATTTTCTTCATAGCTCGTTTTATCATATAGATGAATATCAACAAATGCATTCGGTGTAAATAAGAAAACTGCTTCACTTCCTTCTTATATATACGCTACGAGATCATTGAGCATCCAATCATATCCAAATAGTAAGATCTTAATGTAGACATTCATAAACTCATAAACTAATGTCACTAGTGAGAAGTAGTCGTGAAATAATTAAACGAGAAAATATATTTGCCAAAAATAATTACTGAAATGTTTCAAGGATTTTAAAAAGCAAGTAATTACGACTACTAGAAAACGGTTTATGATCCTGGAATTTATCGGCACGGATTTATCATTCTACGTTTGAAGGTTATCAACTATTGTATAAAAGTAGATTATTTTAAGACTACAACGAAAAATTAGACTATTTCACGCAGAAGCAAGTATTTTTCAGGATTTGTTTTTATGATTCACTCATGAGATGCCTAGTTCGAATTCGAATATAAATGGACATCCAACTGCATGGTATCAATTCGAAAATAAGTGATAGAAATAGATTTAGTTTTAGTTTTATATTTAATTCAAGATGGAGTGGGTGTGGGTTGAGGGGGCTAAGTGGTAACTGTGTGTGGCGGTGCGAGTGATGGGGTGGGTAGGAGGGGTACCCGAAAAGGGTGGGGATATCCGGGATACTTCAAATGTGGCTGTGGGTGATGAATACTGTGGAAGAGTGCTCAAATGTGGGTATGGTTGAAGGGTATATATGTATTCATATGTCGCATATATCGGAAAGTTAAACTAAAACAAAATATACTCCTAGATTTAGTTTTAGTTTAACTTTTTCTTTTCTCCATTTATATTCGAACTCGAATTAGACAGCTACTCTAAGTTATATATATATATCTGTATTGAATTTCACACTAGATAATCTAATCACTGAAGGTTAAGAAATATTCATATTTTGATACAAATACGCTGGCGGCAGCATCTCTAATTTCCTCAAAAAGCATATTCTTCGCAAGAAACAAACAACTCGTATATCTAATCATTAGGATTATATGTTCAAAAACATTGATAATATTTATTTTTGTTTGAGAACATTTTAATTATTCCGCTCAAAAATCAAACAATCATATGCACACACTTCCTTTTAATGACATTCTTTGATTTTTTAATCAGTTTTCTTTCGTATTCACAATGGTTACTTCTACTGTAAACAATGATCCAATTTTTTTCTATTATCTGACAACCGATCATTTTCGCCTACCAATTACTAACGAATTAGAACTTATCGATGATTGTTACACCTATCGAATAGAATTATATATCCGATGATAATTTGTTTAAGAAACAATGCTTGTTCACGCTTATATGACAAAACCAATTGATACATCATATACTTTATTCTGAGAATAACACTTCTGTTCGTACTATTGCAACTGTGAAAAGATAAACAACTGATCTCAATATTGCTTTTCTGAATAAAATATCAAAACATTCGCGTTCGACAAATAAAATAAGTAAATACAATATCGAAGCGCGAATTCAAATGTAACGAAAATTATTCGCGTGTGAATTAGTTGCATAATCGTTGCATCAATTAGCTTTCAATGTATATTCAATTTGATGCAGACGATCAACATTTAGAATCGTATTGGCATGCATATCTAATGAGTTACTCACAAACAAAATAATTCATTAAATTGATAAAATACAAAAAAAAGACACTTGTTTAATTTTTTTTAAAGAAAACTATCTTCAAAGAAATATGAAATAATAACAACAAGCTGGTTTAGAAAGATCATTCATTTTCACAAGATGTTTTCATGTTGTGATAAAACAAATGCGATAGTCATGTGTTTCGGCGACACTTTAACATTCTCTTTCTCTTCTTCTGTATTGATCATTAGAAGAACATAGACAAAAACAAGCATGATGCTGACAACTGATATGATAGATTTAGTTTTAAATCGAGATAACGCACAGTTCGATTTAATATTGATGTAATTCGAGAAAATGCAAATCGAGATCAAAAGATTTTTCACTTGATGATTATTATTCATTTTACTTTTTTTTCTTCTTAAGTACATTTTAACAAGATCTTACTTTTTTCCAACGACGATCAGCTGATTAAATGAAACGAAAAATAAATAAGAATTACTTTCTTTTGCGTTCGAACGAGAGAGAGAGAGAGAAATAGATTTTTTTTCTTCACGTCATTTCATTTTCAACAGCAGCATATACAAACATAGAACGACTATCAGACATTTAGTCAGTCAGAAGTGTCTGTTTGAATAAGAAATCTTCTTTTGTTAAAGCTATCTGTTGAATTTCTTTTTCTTCTTGCTCTCTCTTCTTCTCCCCTATTGAAATAAATTATAATAAATAATCGAGCATCTCAAATGATTATCACTGACAGTCTCTCAATTCACCTTCACTAATCTATTAGCAGCAACGACAACGACAATACCACACAAATGCAAGCATCAATAATCGCTTTCAGTGACAGGTAATTAAACAATAACTTTATTGTAAACACAGTTAAACATATAATAGAATTAGTTATGTAACCTATTCTAAAACTAACAGTTCTATTAATATGAATAATTATATGTTCTGAAAATAATCTCATTTTAAATATCTTCTCTGACAGTGAGACTGTTTAAGTCATCAATTCTTTCTTGATATATCCGTGGAGTTATTTCAACATTTAGAAATATTTATCTCTTTATCAGTGAAACAATATATACAGAAATATTCTAACTGGATGTTAATTAATAGTTGTTAGGTCATACAATGGTCAACTTATGTCTATAGAAACTAATTTCATGTAATGACACGAACGTGTTTATTAGTGAGATACGATGTTACTATGAGAATCATAAATAGAAATGTTATAAAAGTGATCTTTAAAGTTAACTTAAAAAGATAATAATACAAACGAATGCTATCTCAATTATCGAATGTTCATCTTGTTCTGAATTGTAGGAATTCGATATGAAGATGAATATTCATGTTCAAATAAAAACTCTTGCCAGTTGTTTTATCGACATTGTCAAAACAATATTTATTTCATCACCTGTTTTCTTTTTTTCTCACACATCCATCTTCTCGAACAGATTGTTCAACATTTTGACATGATATAATTATAATTGTTTTTTGAATAAAATGCATTTATTCATAGTCTATAATATAAACTAACATTTTGTTCTTTTATTTCATTCTATACGAACGATCTTTTGTTATTCCTCTTTGATAGCGTTAGATGTGATTAAATCTGCATTAAAGTGCAAATGAAAACAACGTTGAAATTCGCATCCTAACGTTCATCTCGTTCGTTTTCTTTTTTGTTATTTCTTTTCCAACGAACTCTTTCCCGGGAGGAAAAAAGTGTTGAAAGGATGTTATCCGTCATTGCATCGATCTCGTCTCCCACCCATTTTCTCCCTTCCTCTGCTCTTGCTGTGTCCTGTTCGTTGGTTTCTATATGTTTATTGAACACGTTCAAAAAATTCGTTAAGCTCGGCAAACGTTAGGAATGTGTAAGCAAAAGTAAAGAGAGTGAGAGAGAGAGAGAGAGAGAGAGAGAAGGGAAGCAAATATTTTTTCATCGATCCGAACGAGAAAAAAATATTCGCTTGTTCAATGGTCGTCGCAGTTTCATCCTGATGAAATGCACATAACATCACTCGTTTTCTTGTCTATGTTGTGGTGACTATTATCTTCAGAGTTATCAGTTATCTATATATATATATATAAATGAATACTTTATTTGATATTCAACATTATGTCAATATGAATCAGACAACATCTCCTATGACTTGTCTATTTATGTCAAGGTAAGATATGCATATGTTCGTAGTGATGAAGAAAAGAAATAACATCGAGTTTTGCTTTATAAAAGTTTTATTGAATCTAATTATTATTGCTTGTGTAGGCGAACACCGCGGCGAAAACTTGTTTTTTCTTCAAGTGATGATGAAACAGATGATAGTCCACAATCTGTATCTTCAGGTAGAAATCATTTTTATTTATTTTAAAATAAACAGATAAGCATTTTTTTTTCGCTTTAGTACAAATCTTCCGACAAGAACATCATTCAATTATTCATGATGAACAGTGAGTGTTCTTTTCGTCATTTGTTTTTCATTGCATACCATGGTTAGCTTCACATGAGCGGCGATAGATTTCGTTCTACTTGATTTATGACTGACAATTCAATGGCACTCAAGTGTAGAGTGTGCGTTCGACCGTTGACATGCTTTTTTTTCAAAAATTTTTTCTTCTATTCTCCCATTTAAGTGCAACGATCTTACCCTCATTTCTATCCTCTTTCTCTCTCATACAATTAAAGACAAGTGTCAACTTTCATGGTACAATTGACGTCACGTATACCTTTTTCCCTTAAGGTAAATGACCGAGTACATATTTCTACCATTAGCAGATAAAGAAACAAAAACGATAATCTTATTGTAATAAAGCTAAGCCAATTTATATTTAAAAATAAAAGGAATTTTCCCCTTTTTTTTCTTCTTCGTAAAATAGGTTGTCGACTAAGACAGAATTGCCAACAAGTATCGTGATGCGTTCAAAACTAGAACATTATGGTTTTAGTATGCTTGCTCGGCCTGCATCACTACATTTGAATAAACGTCAACCATTAGCTATACAAAATCAAAATAAAAAAGTTCGTTCGAATGAATCATGTCATTCAATGCAAACACGCTCGCAATCATCATCGGTTTGTTTGTATAAATGTTCTAGAGTCGCTAAAGAATGCTTTCTTTTACTGTATAGGATTCGCATTCGGATCATCTCGTAAATTTATTTGATAAAACTCTTTCGACAGTGACACCAAACCCTGTTCGTAATCGACAACGACGATGCAAACCGTTACCCCTTTGTTTATCTGATAATGAAAAAAATATGCCAGTTTTAACGGTCATTACAACAGATGACAAAGAAAATGTAAATGTAAGAATATGTCTTTTAGTAAAAAGAATTATCTTTATAATTATTTTCATTCTTAGAAACGAAGTTATGATGAAGATGAAAACAGTGAAAATTGTCGTTCAATAAAACGCACAAAAATCGATGATGATAATGATAAAGAAAATAATTTATTTATCAAACGTTCTCGGCGTGGTGTTGGCGTATGTATTAATGATTTCTTACCAATAATAAAAAATGACTATAAATGAATATTTCTTTTTTGTTTTTGTTTTGTTTTAGTTAATTCGCAGTTTCACTGAACCTAATGAAGAACAAATAAAAGCATCCGTTGAACTTGGTTCGAATCGAGATTTAATTGGTGATCGTTCGCGTTCGCATCTTTTACCAAGATGCGCAAGTCGTAAGCATCCAGATCTTGCTTGTATTAGTCCAGAAACGGTGAGACAACAAATTGAATATTTTGATCTATAATTATGATTTATCTTCTATGTGCTCTAGTTAATTGATGTATTACAAAATGTGTATGCATCAAAAATTGAAAGTCTTCATGTTATTGATTGTCGTTATCCATATGAATATGAAGGTGGTCATGTTCAATCGGCTAAAAATCTTTATACACGTTCACAAATTCATAATGAATATTTTCATAAACCATTGAAATTAAACGATTCGTCGAAAAGAAATATTTTTATTTTTCATTGTGAATTTTCATCCGAAAGAGCACCATCATTGTAAGTTAAATATTCGGATTTAAATAGATTACTAAAATGATTGTTATTCATAGGCTAAGATTTTTTCGATCCGAGGATCGTAATATACATGAGCAAAGTTACCCACAATTACATTATCCAGAAATCTATCTACTTGAAGGTGGTTATAAAGCACTTTATGAATATTCGAATGTAAGGATTGATCTTTTGTTTTTGAAATAAAAAGAAAACGAATTCATTTGATTTTAACATATTAGCAATTCTGTGTACCAAATCAATATCGAACAATGACTGATATTAATTATCAAGAAGAATATCGCCAATATCGATTTGAAACAAAACAATGCGATAAATTTACAGGTGCAAATGAAAGAACCGGTGGTGGACGTCGAACACGAACATTAACATTTCGTACTTGTCTATCATTTTCTTCACAACCAAATCCACCGCGTTTATCGAATACTCGATATGATCTACGATTTATTGAATCTCCACCGCAATGTTAAATATTTAATTTTTGTTTAAACAAAAATTATCTACTCATCATATTGATGGATGAATATGAAATTTTCAACCTTTTTGAACTTATACATACATAGGTATATCTATATGTGAAATACTCATTGTTGAGTAGGATTTTCTTGTTCGCTCTCGCGTACGTTTGTGACTCTTTTGCGTCATTGATATGCTCTCTTTTTCTCTTTTGGACGGTAGTGAAGATGATGAGACTGCTTTTATAAAATTGTTTGTTTTTTATACTAGACTAGGAAATAATTGATTTTGTTTTTGTCTTGCGTGTGAACGAAAAAGAAACAAAATATATGATTGTTTGATTTTTAATTGTTTTTGTCTCTTTATTATCTGCGCAATTTAACAAAGAAAGTAAGAAAAACAAATTTACTGATATAACTTATGCCGTTTGTACATGAATCATTTGCTAAACGGATATTAATTATATATTACTGTAGTTGACATATTGTGATTGAGAAATAAGCACTCAACATATGTTAGCATAGGCCAATAGTTGTTGACATATAAAAGGACCGCAGAGTTCTATTTTCTTTCTGAAAAATAAAACAGATACTGTGAGTTTCTCAATGTCGATGTATTTCACTACAGTTTTCTTCATCATTGTTAATTTCGTATTGAGTTCGAATGGTTATGATCTTTATCCAAGTTATAATTTAACAGTTGATCCAATCAAAGCCTTGGAATGGTCAGAGAATAGTGCACTTGCTTATATAACAACTGTTCGACTATTTGATTATGATCATCATATATTTCAATATCGACGTTATCCATGTCAATATTTTTATACTGATGAGATCCAATTATTTAAAAGCAATGAGTCGTTTAGTCAATGTTCTTTTAATACAACAACAAATAATTATGAATATAGTTTTCAACTTCATCTTGATTCTCGTCATATTGAACCATATATTTAAAAAAATATTGCTATTCAATGTACTTATATTAAGTGCAGTCTTTCATTGTTAAATATAACAAATATATATGTTGGCTGGAATTTAAAAGGTCGAGACAATAATCCTGATTGTTCATTTGATATTAATACACCACACAATATTCTTCAAACGCCATACACTATATCAGAATTGATTACGCTTCAATGCAAATCATCATTAGCTTGTAATCATTCAAAATTAAATATAGAGCAATTTTTTTCAACATATGTTCAAATAGTATATGGTTCATCATTTGATCTTCAAATACCATATTGTTCATTAGAAAAAAGTCTTACTCATGTTATCGATACAAATTTCGCACAAACAAATGGATTTTTACAACAGCTCATTGAACTAATGAAACAAAATTCTGCCGCAAAACGTGAAGATGAACAAGTAAAAATCAAAGACTCTTAGTATTCTTATTTGAATTACAAAGAACACTACAACTAACTAAACCCCATTAAAATGAATTAATCAAACAAAAGAAAGTACTTGAATAAAATCCTATTTACTTACTTATAGTTCTCCCCGCGTGTTTTCAATAAATAAAGAACGTCGTTTTTCATAGATTCGAGTGACATCTATGAGATTTCACCTTGATTTGATGCGTGTAATATATATATATATGTATATATTTTAAAAACTTGATAATAATAATATTAATAATGATATTTGTGTATTGATTAGATTGATTAGAGAATATAGGATGGCTTCATTAATCAAAAACCAAATTATCAAGAAATTGTCAAAGTGTGAAAAATAGAGTATTTCTTCTTTTATTCTAGGCTGTTTTTCTTGATTTATTTAAAGGTTTGTCAAAAATCTCTCAGCAAATCAAATTAATTTAAGTACTATAAAAGGTGAAGGTGAATTATCGTCACTTAATCTAGATGAGAGAGCATTAGAAGATGTTACTGAACTGCCAACGTGGCTCAAAATTCAAAAAGCAACATGTGGACGAGCTTTTATTAAAGTAGAGAAGAATCAATCAGGAAGAAAAAGATAGGTTGTTCTATTTATGCTTTTAGATTCCTTGGACAAATTTAAAAACGTTACCCATTCAATTAGTAAGGCAACATGCGAAACAAACGATTCTATATGATTTATATAATTTCTTTAGCAATTAGATGATGTTACTATTGAAATTGAAACATGTGAAAATCTCCGGGACGTACAAAATTCTTCAGGTGGCAATGATCCGTGAGAATTGAATGCAACTTTCAAACGATTTTATATGTATTCTCGTGTAGATCTATGGGTAAATATGGTTTTACTAATCGAGTAATTGATGGAATTTCATTAACAATTACAAATCTAACATTAGTAGTAAAATCAAAAGGATTTAAAGCATCAATTTGTGTGAGTACATATCTTATTTCATCATCATGTAAATACTGTCTAATTTTAGTTGCCGACTTTAGACATTTATAGTACAACTCCCAATGGAAAACGAGTTGATGCATTAACCTTCACTCGACTTCGTAATGCTGCCAAAAGTTATATTCTTCTTTTTAAAGTAAAAATTAATTTCTTTTCAAACAACGAAATAATTTATTTTGTAATACATTGAAGGAAATATCCTGGCCCAATGCACGTATTGAAGCTTCGTCAAATGATAATAATGCTCCAGGAACTGGAATACGTTTTATTATTAACTCATGTCAAATGAGAATCTCAATGAAAAAGAATCTTAGAGGTTTTTATTTTTGGATTAATTTTTTAAAGAAATAAATAGAATTAAAATTTATTTATTATCATAGATAGTTCCATGATATCAGCTCGTGTTATGTTGCATTTCGATGATTTATTATCAGTTCTCAATGATGCTCAATTAAAATCAGCATTAAATACCTATAAAGAAATAATGGAATTGATGAAACGAGCATCAGAACAGCAAAAGCGTTCTTCTGGAGACAAACTCGTTGTAAGTATTTGATTTGAATTGTGACAGGAAGAAGATGACTGTAGTATATTCGAAGAATAATCAACAGACGGAATAGAATTGAAGGAGAAAGTTCTATTTCCGTATTGTTAATATTTCATTGCCAGTTTCAATGAAGTCATGTAAGGAGAGAGAGCACTTCATTTACAAAACACATGAGCAATTTTCTATAGCAACAGAATAAAGGCTCGCTGTGTGCCGCATTGAAAATAGAACTGAAAAGAATATTACATATGTATATTTACAAAAGGCAACACCAGGAGTTGTACTAAGAGTCGAGTTAATCTCCGTGCTGTTTTACAACATGATTGATGGACACTGTGACCATACTGTTCGCCTATAATTGCACATATTCTTCTTCTTCATCGTGTACCATACAAATGATAATGTTAGTTAGCTAAGTTGTCTTATCAACATCTATATTTACTGTACAATATACTTAGAAATTTCATCTCACGAAGTTTGATAACTAGAATGACGAAAATGGCAATTGTTTTTCTTCACTCTTTTTATCGTTACAATCACAGATAGAAGCGTTTAGTACCAGAAAATTTTTTATATAGCAACTCTGGAGGTAACCACTGTAATTTAATCTCATATGAAAGTCTGTTGCTTAAAAGAGAATTCTGTACAAAAGTTTGAGGGGTTTATATTTAACAATGAGAAGTTTAGAATTCAAGCCTCAACGAAGAGTTTATGTAATTAAACGAATATAAAGTGGTAAACCTGACTCTTGTGGAATTAAAATGTGAAACATGGTGAAAGTGTTTTCTAGATCGATTCTATCACAGTTTGTGGCGACGATCAGATGGAAGAATAGGTGTGAATTTCTATCCGATATCCCTGAACACTCGTTTTACAATATGTTCTACCAAAAATTTCTTAACAGTTATCAACTAATAATTCGTTCAAGGATAGCTGATGTCATTTGCTTTACTCTATCGAAAAAATCTTGCGAACAAAATTATTTTATTTTAAAAATAAGGCTTTTATTATTTTTTTGTTTTGCTTAGAAATTAGATCGACAACAACAATCACCAATATTTCAAGCTAAACCGTCAAGAACAGGAATTAACGAACAGGCAAGTTCAGTAAATTCTGAGCAACAAGCAAATGATCCATTTACTCGATACGATGTTGTTGAAACATCATTACATTTCAATGTTAAACGATTAGATTTGCATATGATGGCCGATTCAGATAAGCTGGGTACAAAGATAATGAATTTCATTTTCTTTTTTATATTTTATCAAAGATATGATTCTATTTTAGCTGATCGATTAGTCGAAAACGGTGCACTTCAAATGACTATTGCAAATTTATCTATCGATCATTATCCATATCATGAATTTGGATCATCAAGAAAACATTGGATAAATTATAGCGAAATTCAATCAACAAATCGTACGGAATGGATCAATAGATTACATGAAGAATGGTATGAACAACTCAGTACGGCTAAATCTTCTGTATCAAATGATGAAACATGTAAGTTTAAACTTGTACGTGACAACGAGAGAAGAAAAGCCGCGATGATTTATTTTCAGCTATGAAATTCGAAAAAGCTCTTCGTACAAATCAAATTCGTTTATTTGAATCGTGTAGTATCTTAAATATCGACGATTTTATTTTCTATCCTGTTTCATTAAACTCGGATAAGCAACACAAACGTCGTCGACCACTAATCTCATCCGATAAAACATATTATCACTTACCAGACAGTTTAGGTATTATAAATGTACAACGTACTGAATACTATTATCCATCACCATATTCATTTCCTGGTAAAATCAAATAAAAGACTTTTTTTGTGTAAAGGAATGCAAATGTATTGTCTTTGTTTCTCATAGTACCAAATAGTGATTTGTATATTCACATAATGCCTCTTGTAATTCGTGTTGATTTTTCTACAATAAGTTGGCTTGATGCTTTTGTTTCAACATTATCAATAACGATAGTAATTTAGTTAAAATCAAGAAAATAACCTTATATTTTTCATAGGATAATTCTGGTGTATTAAAAACTGATGGACCAACGAACGACTTTGAACACATTGCAATTAGATTAGAAGCGATGTTGCCTAGAGTATGCTGAATTTTTCGATTTTTCTATTGTTTTTTTAGTGAAGATCTATGCTTAGATTGTTATCATTTCGGACATATTTACTAAAACACGTAAATTACAAGAAACTAAACCTGATAAAAATCAAGCCTCTGATACATCATCAAAGAATGAAGTATTGAATCAAGAACAATATGATGTACTTGAAATGAATATTTCAAAAGTTTTAATTACAAATGCTCGGACAGAACCAACAAGTAATCGCGATAAACTTGAGAAAGATTTAGAATTATTTAAACAAACGAGTTTTTTTCAACAAACTCAATGGCCGTTTTCAAATGAGACAACAAGTCGATTAAGTCCATTGTTTGAAAAACATCCATATGATACATATTTATATAATAATCCATTAAGTCAAAAGACTGGCAATTTACCAGAAGCAAAATCGGCTAGTACCGCACTTCACACTTATTATACAATGACAACTGATTCTTTGAAAAAAGTGAGCAATGTTCTAAAAATCTTTCTACTCCGTTGAATTAATCTTCTTTTCTTCTATGTTCTTTTTACAGTAGAATTGACTGATATTCATTGCATATCAGTAAAATACAAAGGGAATAATATTGTATAAACAGCATAGATCAAATATATTTTAGTTAGTCAGTTCAATTCTTATAGCAAAAAGCTTCTCGGCTGTTGTGTTCTATCGGTTGATCATCGAGTGATCAGCATTGCTCAAGTTGCTGATATTAAATTTATTGGTGTTGCTTCGAGTGAACTATTCTGGAATACAATAACAAGAGAAATACTTTAGATAATGAAAATTTGTTAGGCGAGTAATGCAAAATAGGAAATAAACGATCAAGACGAAGTGACTCGAAGAATTTATAATTTTCTTGTTGATTTTAATTTTAATTTTAATTACTGAACATACCTAAAAGAAAACTATGAAACGACTCTCTCACAAGAAAATATTTACTATGCTATATGTTTTAATATTAACTAGTTCTATCAAAAAACAATATATAGAAAAGAAAACTCTCTAAATAATCTTTAATTCTGACAAAAGAAAACAATTCATTTTTCAAAGAAACATTCTATGTTGTCTGTATTTTCATAGTCTGCAAAATATGATATTTGGCATTTAAATGTTGAAAATGTTTATCTGGACTTTACGCCATCATCATCGTTATCAGATTCTGTTCGATTTGCAAAACAAAATATGGCTGACACTTTATCCATCACAAGTTGGATTGCACTTGATAAAATTGAAAAAAGTAATAGATTATTCATATCGTTCAATATTGCGCAAGTCCTGTTTTGTTTATTGATTAGATTCATGGTTAAATGCTTTGTGCATTCTCGAAATTCCAGCTATATTGAAAATTTCTCGAAAACAATACACATTTATTATGCAACTAGTGGATGAATTAGGTATTTTTCTTGATGAACTTGAACGAAATAAAAATCAAACTCATTTAATTAAACAAAAACTCGCATTAAACATTTCTTCTGATGATATAAAAATAACGATCTGTGTAACTGTTCCGGCGACATTTACACTTGCTGTTATCGATGGTGTTGAAGATGCAATTATTAATCTGCCTACACCCACTCCATCAAGTTTATCTGAAACTGATATTGAACCTATCAAGCGTGATACATCATATACAAGTGCCATCGTTGATTTAGTAACAACACCAGTAGCTATTCCTCTTAGTCCAATGAAAATAGAAAAACCGATTACCAATAAAACTCTTGATTTATCAGCACAAAAGAAATCAAAATTTGAAGGAAGTTTTGCGCGTGGATTAGAGATGATTTCAAAAGGTTCAAGAGGTTCATCCATAGCATCGTCTATGAATATGAGTGATAATAGTGATGAAACTTCCTCACAATGGGATTTGAATGAAGAATTAGATGCTGATATTGATGCAAGTGTATTTAATAGTGATTTTGAAGAACAACAACAGCAAAAAAGTGCACGCATTGAATTAGATGATGATTCTATTAGTTTAACTGGAAAAAATTATGTTAATATGAGAGGATTAGAATCTGTATGTTTTATACGAAAATGAAAAAAAAAAAGAAAGAAATTGTTTTCTCCGTTTGATATAGGCTGATGGAGTATTCGTTAAATTAAATCAAATCAATATTTGTATAACCGAAGACCATGGAAAGAATAATGATAAACAAATGTTTATTGCATGTAATGTTAAATATTTACGCGTCGATGAATTTTCTTCATTGAAACTTGATGCAATTAAACCGAAATTGTTTGAAAATGAAAGCCCAGGTTTATTTTAATTATCTACTATAATTCAATTCTTCTCATATTCATTTATAGATGAACTTAATAATGAAAATGTTCCACCAATAAATCTTCGTCTTGATTTTCCCAAGAGTAAAGAATCACCGCCAACTCTTACCATACATCTGCAAGATCGCTTACTAGTGATAACTAGTCACGCCATCGATGTACTCTCACGAAATCTTGAAGAAATATTTACAGTTGAAGAAAGAATTCTTAGAGAAAACCTTCCACCGAAACTTATTCCAATAGAAATTCAATTAAATAATGTGCAGATAACACTTAAAGTATGAATGTTATCTTCGTTTTCTGTCCTACGACAAAACCTGATAAGTTTCTTTCATGTCTTGAACAGAGTTCATATCCTTAGCTAATGATTGTCGAGATCCTGTAATTTGAGCTTTTCAAAAATAACAAGCAGTAGTAAAATTCTTCTCAAGACCAATATGCGAAAACTTAGTTTCTAGTTTCGACTGCACAGTTTCAGATCTTTTGATTCCCTTCTGTTCTGAAGTGAGTGCCTTAGATCTGTAGGTGCACGCCAAACTATTACCATAACTGTTTAAAGACTGTTCTTAAAAGGAAGTTACAAACCGGGATATATTCAAGAAGGAAACATGAAACTCTAGTGTCTTGACAACAATAAACCGTTAAGTTTATTTTACTTTTAGCCGCTGCATGAATTCTTAACCGTAGATACAGTTGTTCAAACGAAACCACCCATAGAAATGATTATCGAATGTATGAATTTGCTTCGAAAAATCGATGGAAAAGTACTTATTCGAAAGACGATTAATAATGGTAAGAAATAAGTCGATAATCATTTGTTTTGACTGATTTTCAAAGGAAACTTAACATTAAAAATTTCAATTCTTATTCTTACTAATCTTCTCCGAGCGTATTCAAAGTTGAAAATGAATCCGCTACTAAAGGGTGCGGCAGAATAAATGGCCGAATAGTATTTCGTCAATAACGTCTTCATTTTTCACTTTCTAGCCTTGAAATGTTTCGCAAAGAAATCCGCCATTCAATTCTCTACAAGATCTGCATTAAGTCGTTTTTTGTACAAAGCGAAATAGAAATACAAAAAAAAGAATACTCAACATGTTCAAGAGGATCTACTTTCTTAGCTGAAAAATCGTTCTTTTAGATTTTTTTTGTTGACTAGTGATCACAAACATAAGATGATACAAGCATTTTGTAGGCCATGAAAAACTCTATTCATTGATAATTATTTGAAAAAGTTCTTTGCGCAGCCTTTCCATATATAATGATAATATTCTTTTTCAAATTTTGGAGAACTTAGTTGTCTTGTTCTGTAGTATCGAAGCTCCTGCAAAAAGACTCATAAAAATGCCAAAGCAGCATCTTTCGCCTTCTGGTTTTCTTCATTTTGATGGGGCATGCTTACTGTGCCAAATACAGAGGAGAAAGCTGCCCTAAAATTCGCTCCTTCAATTCCGCTGGCGAAGCTAAATGACATTTGAAGCATTTTGAATAGGATTTTAAAAAAATGAGATTTTTCGGTTTTAATTTTATTTGAACGAAATTTTAGCTGCATCACAAGAAGAAACAACTTTGAAAATGTTCAAGAACATTTTGATTTTTGTTGTGTTGCTTGTTATATTCTAAAACATGTTCTGAAATTTAATTTTAAAATAGCTTAGAAAGTAGGTCTTTCTGAACATGTTGAGTATTCGTTTTTTTGTATTTCTATTTCGCTTTGTACAAAAAACGACTTAATGCAAATCTTGTAGAGAATTGAATGGCGGATCTTTTGCGAAAAATTTCAAGACTAAAAAGTGTAAAATGAAGAATTTATTGACAAAATACTATTCGGTCATTTATTCTGCCGCACCCGTTAGTTTTGAGATCGATTCAGAAAAGCTTTGATATTTTATTTGAAAAATCTTCGATAAGATTTCTTAGCAAATCTTATCATCGAAGTTTTTTTTTGTTGAAAACTTATTACTGAAGTTAAAATATTTAATTTAGATGATAAAAAACAAATCGTTCCATCATCTGCACAATCAAGTATTACGGACGATATTGATGGGAAGTTACAGGAATTAGAACTATTTCGCCATGAAAATGAACGATTACGTTCAGAATTAAGTAGTAATAAAACTGAAATATCTGTTTTACGTGGTGAACGTGATAGTTTGATGCATACAATTTCGAAACTTGATATTGAATTAACTAAAGCTGAATATCAACGTCTTACTCAACAACAACAACAACCACAGCAACAGCCAAGAAAGAAATAATAATACTTTTATACGTAGTTTTATTATTATTAATATTAATGTGATAATCTAACGAGAACTTATTTGCGATATTTTGTGAAAATTTTTAACGGCGGTGCCTTAATCAATCTGTTTTATTTTTTCGTAATATTTTTTTTGTGAAAATACACTCATGGTTTAGGGTTAAAGTATTTTCAAATTTCATCGGTTTTTGTGTACTCAAAAAGTGAGTACACCCTAGATTCGGTCAGTGTCCGGCCGGCCGTTAACACGGTAACTGTTGAAAGCCTCATACAGTTGTCTTGACATTTTCTACATAGAATGATCTCATCAATACCTCAGTCGTGTTCGAAAAAGAGAAGGATCCGTCAACAAATGGCTGAGTTATCGAAAAAATTGTCGTTATTGACCAGACCATCCCTGTGGGGGGGGGGGGGTCCCCGGCTTTTTTCAAAAAAACAATTTTCTCAGTATTATTCACAACATATATAAATCGCCTCAGTTTGTGCAGTACACATAACAATCGGATGCGAATCCGATGTTTTCTCATTTATTTATGATTCTCAAATAGAAAATAATTGTCATACTACTGTTGAAAACTAGTAGGAGTGGTGCATTTCTGTTCAAGTCAAAGAGAACTCAAAACTACCTTGAATAAAAAGATATGTACGACTAAGATGGAGATGACAGATTATGATATGTAAGCAATAGCATTCTATTTTACCAGCTACAACAATAGTGTGGATGTGGTAAATTATTGTTGTTCTAATAAAAAACAAAACATTCTTTACTCTGTGACAATCGAAAAAGATGATATCGACTTATTGCATATTTTTTATTCAATAATTTTTGAATAAAAATTATAAAAAACTAGGCTGTATCGCGCATTAGCAGTTTTGGTGTGTTTGCGAGATACTATTTGATTTGATGCCATAGTTCGATAGAATCTTGTTCAAATTATCAACAATTGATGGTGCTAAAGTTTTGGTTCGTCTAAAAATATATCATATCAAGATATTCATTTGAGATGCATGATAAAAAGACTCGAATACTTACGAAAGAAACCAAATAAATTGCCATTTACCAAAGACGGGAATATTTTTACATGAATAGACAAGAGAATAATTTTCATAATCAGTAGCAATAACATTGTAGGAGCCTACTTGATCTATAGAGAGAGAAATGAATAATAGAATTGATCTTTTGAAAACAAAAAAAAATATCTGCTTACTTTGATTATCGAATTTAACTTCGAGTGCTGCAGGTTCCATTGCATTTTTTACTCTAGCCGAACCTTTAATGCTACTGTATTTGCCAAACATATTTATTGCCTGATTCCAGACACCAACACTTCCATCGTCCTTTGCTGTGTAGGTAGCATTGACACATTTAGAGCCGAGTTCAAAGATAATAGTGTTTCGGTAGGCTTCATACCAAAGGCCAAGATACTAAATAATGTCCGAGCAATGATAGATATGAGTTATTCGCAGTAATCCCTGGTAAAAATAACTTACTTTAGATGCATCGAAATCCTTTTGTGTAGGTACTGTTGGGCATTTACCTGCGTGTGAAATACTGCTAACAGCGAAGAGAACAATAGTAGCAATGGTCAATGAAAACATGATTGAATTGTATGCGATACCGAATTGAGATACTCTTCTGCATTCATCTATCCGTATATATATATATGCAGAATTTCAGTCAGGTCACTGTTATATAATTTAGCTCGATTCATAGGCGAATTAAATGATTGACTGATAAAACAGAAAAATATCAATGCAGACATATGAGAAGAGTCAATATTGATGATATTAATGGAGCACAAAAAATATGGCTTAGTGCAAGGATAAAGTACATTTCGATTCTAAAATGTGAAAAAAACGATTGCATCGATTTCGTAACAAGCCATCTGATCTTTTACACAATATTTTGTTTTTCCATCACTGATACTCTTTCGACGACTTTCAAGGGACACAGACTTTGTGTATATTTGATTACGTATTCTCTGTATACTTTGTACTTTACAAAGAAACTATCGGTAAGTTCTAATGGGTTATTGTGAGGTATAGACTTTGATATGATTTGTTCGTTAACTTGAGTGAAATTCTCATAAACTAATCCTAGAAGACCAACATCAGTTTCGAATCATATTAATCATGACGTGTCAGCTACTATATTTTGGTAGGAGAAGATGGCAATTTGTAATATGCCAAAACTCATACATAAAACGAAAACAGAAATAATTGTCTTGTAATTATTATAAGTTAAATGATTTAAAACGCTCTAACCATAGAATATAGCACAACTTAATAGTTCTACTGAGAAAATTCGTGCGTACATCTTAATAATGACTTCGGTAGAAACTTCTACATAGACAAAAAACATCGAAATATATTATGTTAAATTATTAAAGAACATGTGTGACTACGTTGATAAACATTCTTTGCAGTTGCAAATAATATCATTTCTCAGGAAGCAATATTTAGATCTACGATTTCAAACGCAACAAACAATATATTTTAGATTCAATGAAAACTTTTAGAAACTGTAGTTAATCAATTTTAAGAGAATAGTTTCTTTTTTTTGTAAGCGCTCTACATCTCCAACTTACTGTATATTTAGAGTTGCTTTTTTGTAAAATGACATTTTCCATGACGCTTAGTCCGAGTAAAATTCAAACGAACCATTTCACGTTAATTCAAACTCAATGGATTTTGTGTCTTGTCCTACACTGATCACAAAGAAAGTGGTTCGGAAAAACATCCTTTACAATATTGATTATCATGATAAAATCTATTATTTTTCCAACGCTTTTTTTTTCAACTATTTATTTGCAATTATGATTAATCACGTTTGCATTATTCTATTACATATTTTAGAAATGAATTAATCAGAAGATCTAAATATTCTTGTGAACATAATTAGATGGCAAACATTATAATGAAAAGCGCAGTATTATTGAAATGCTCAAATGTTGCGTTACAATCTAAACAAAGTTTCAAATATACATTATACAGATGAATCATTTGTATAACGATTATTATACAAACATTGTTGTAATTATTATCATGCATTTCCTGTAACTTTGACAACATTTTTTAAGGAACTTACTGTTAAAAATGGACGAGAACGATGTCAATGAGCTAGATTAAATTTTAAATAATTTCCTAATAGAATATTCTCCGCATAAAACCTTTAAATAATCTATTTCAAATAGCAGAGTTTCATTATTTTTCAAAAGCGTTGGTGTTGGTGTACTACATTGAAAGAGAAAGAAATCCGTACATCAGTACACAAAACTTGTATCTATGAATTAAATAGTAAGACAAACCGATGATATCTTCATTTTGTTCTCAAAGAAGAAAACGACGGTACTAACTTGAACAAATGAACAAAAGCAAGCTTTTGATCCATAACGATATAACAACGATGTTATCCATTCGATATGCCTATCAAGTCTTCATCTTAGTATTTATTGTTAACGACAACTAACATCATGCGACTGACGATCAGTCGTAGGTGTAAATATATATGATATGAAATTTCTGACGATCCTACCAAATTATGACAATTTTCATTAGGTACGCAATGAAAATAATAAGATTTTTCAAAATGGATATGCAATTAGGTTGTTCATTTAAATCTGAATTTGATTCGTATTAACTTCGATTAAGTGAATTACATTTTCATTGAATTTAAGCAATTCTTTTTCTCTAATATGCTACGATATTCAACAGAAATATTCGATATAGAACAGGTCTATCCTAAAAACTTGAATGGCACGGTAAAATATTCAAGTATTGAACTAAACTAGATCGATATTGCCTGTTGGTGTATGATTAAAATATGATCATATGAATATGTAAAGTAATATCGAATTAATTCCTAAAAATATTTCGAATTATTTTTGGAGGCTCTCATCGATTTCCTCATGTTATAAGGATAAATGATTATGTACAATTTATTTCACAATATTTGAAACGATCTTTAGAGCATGTATAACAATAAAAGAAAGCACTAATTATATATAAAATATATCTATTTTTAAATCAATCATAAAAACGCTTTTCAAAAGTAATCGATTTCTTTAGAAATCGTACAGAAAGCACATATAAACATCGTTTTACATCATTGTAGAAGCTGATCGTTCCATGGTGGCAAGTCTCTACTATTGATATATATATATATATATTATCAAAATCTTCGAAAAACAGCAAACTGATCGCAGATATCTGATACTACGAAGAAAGGAAGAACTTTAAATAAAATAAATAGCAGTCGCCTAATAGCTTTGCGATGAAAAGTAAAGTAAAAGCAAAGGACACCTGTCTATTTTCCTCTTTTTCATTCGCCTTTTTATAACATTTTTTCTCTTTCATAATACGATTTGAATGTAAAGATTTCTGCCCTGAGTTACGACTTTCACGTTAAATCTTTTGAAGAACACAAAACTCTCATGTGCACACAACTTTCTCATTCATTTTCGAAAAACAAACAAACCTGAAACGATTAAATCATTTTTTTTTGTTTGTCAAAGCTGAAAAAGGATTCAGTTTGTATGCTGGATGAAAACAGAATGAAAACACACAGCACGATAATATATCCCGTACCCTTTACATTATTCCTAACGAAAGTTTGACATCGAATTTTATATACCATAAATAACAAGTCAAGTCAAGTTGGTATTCATAAAAGATAGTCATGAGTGAGTCAAAAAATGACAAATAATATAATGGTTTTTGAATTTTTTCCGATGCTTTTCTAGTAACATCATTGATGATGTCTATATCTAGAGCTTGAGTCGATTACTAAAATTCATGACTACGAAGCAATGTTAGTGTAAGTGTTAAGTTGATGATGTTATTTCCAATCCAGTGAAAGTTCTTTACTCAAACTTCATTATATTACATATATTCACCCTTACATTGTCAATCTCTCTGTTGTCATTATTTGAACAAGAAATATATAAGTTAGTAACGATACATTATTTCACTCGGTATGCTCGAACTTGTTTCCCAATTATATTTTCAGCTATTGGAGCACACCAGTAGGTGATAGAGTTATTTGCAAACTGTATTGATGCTGATGAGAAATATGTCGATGGCATCGAAAAATGTACGAGTGATGTATATATTGCCTATTTTTGGTCTAATTGTCACCGTGATTACATTAATAAGAGACTTCCAAACGAATATCACCACGCAGAATCGGCTATTAAATTTGAACAATCTACCGTTCAAATTCACTCTGTCATCTCATAAAGATTCGTCTCAAGAAATCGATCACTTACTGTCCAATGATACATTGTTTCAAACATATAGATTACTTCTTCAAAACAATCATAACCTAGAAACTAGTTTTCAGTGTATCGGCCATTTTCACAATCAGTCATGTCTCTTTAAAAACTTGTACTACAACGAAAGAACATTTTGGATTCTTACGACAAAGAAAATGGCATTTCCATTACCAGAGGTACGTATTGGCGCATTTATCATGTCGCCGTTTAATCCCAATCGTCGGCGTTTTTACTCCTATATTGATCTCGAAGAATTTGTTAGTCATAAAATTAATCCCACCGTGATTCCAAATACAACCGTTTATTTCGATCAACCTTGGTTATCGAATATTGGACATGCACTTTTCGATGGTCTCTACCCAGCATATGTCGCTCTAATTCGTTTTCAGCCAAAACATCTTCAACCATTTCGGATTCTACTTCACACTATGAGTGACAATGGTAAATATTCGTTTAGTCAAAATGTTTATAATGTTTTTGCTGGACTCGACACCATAAATGCGAGTGTACTGGAAACAATGTCAGCTGGAAGATGGTTTGCGTTTCAAGAAATCGTGATGGGTAGCGGAAATATGTGTCAACGTTGCCTTCAATCGAATCTTCAGTTACCCGGTGGAATCGAATTGAATGGGTCAAAGCTTTTTCGAGATCGAATGTACAAACAGCATAAATTATCTCCTCCTACTATCAGAAAGAATCACTCGTTCGAAAGACAGTATTTGCGACGGCCTCTTAAAGCTTATGTGATTCATAACAAACGATTTACTGATGATGACAAAATAGAAATTCAAGCAGCAATCGATGAAATCAACAAATACACTGCTGCCAACAAGAATCAAACTACAGAAAATGGAGAAAAGTTGCGTTGGCCACTTGTTCACGTCACTTACACTAGCTATCCTCTCATTGTAGCTCGTGAGGAAGCTAAATCTCAGTTTAGCACTCATATAATACAATCGAAAACGATTATCAGTAAAAGTAAAATGATGGCCCATTTGCAATTATTACAAAATATGGACATTCATATTACAGGACCTGGCACAGGGCAAATGTATCAGACCTTCCTTCCAGATGGATCTGTGAATATAAATCTTGGAGGTTTAGGCTATAAAAAGCAGAAAAACATCACAAAAACGTACACATCATTTTTGGAACAATATGTCACTGCTGGCACACCGTATATTAAGGGACTTTACTATCCTATTAATGAAAGACCGTTAGGTATTAAAAGAGAAATAGTAGTTCAATTGATTAGAAAAGCAGCACAACTAATTTTGAATGCATTTACAATACCAGTACATCCGAGAGAAAATTTAGCATCAGATGGACAATTGTTCACTGAGATGTGTGAGCAAGATCAACAGTTTTGTATGGCAGCCACTGAGAGATCAGAAAAGAATAGTTTTTGGTGTATCAATACATGGCCAGAAGAAATCATCAATGAGAATGGACCATGGTCATCTAAAGGTATTATTGATGGTGATAAAACAGTGATGTGTCCTTGTAATCGAACACTACTCCATCAATTGAGACGAAAGTACAACATCGATTATCATGTTAAAATAATATCGAACAAAACACTTTAATTTTATGAATATTGTTTGCGTAACCCATTGAGAATTGATCATTGACAAACAGTTTGTGCTTCTAATTTAGTTAGATAATGTCATGTAAATACATAGTAACACTAAATAGAAAACTTTTCTAAAATGATTGATCGATTAACAACGATCGAAACATTCATTTGACTTTGTGGATTGTCTTCAATATTATCGAATGGCATGTGTAATGAAAATTTAAAGTCAAGTAGCCGATAAACAATAGTAATAACTTTTCATAAACCGAATGATGACAACACAGTGTATAGACCTTATTGTAACCTTAAAACAATCATTCTGACATTATGATATACTGAATCAAGTTTTCTTGATGGGTTTCACGGAGAAAACTACTTCAGACGAATATAGATTTATATATTTGCCATTTTTTGCTTCACTGCTGGAAAATAGTCGAACGTTTAAAAAGTTAGCGTCATCATGTACATCGAATACTATAGCAGCAAGAAGAATCTTAAGCAAATTTTGTCACTTATGGATAATTTTAATGAAAAAATAACACTTCTGATAAACTGAGCTGATTCTAAAGTCAAAAGAAATGGTTAAATTGAGAAGAGAGAGAGAGAGACAGAGAGAGAGAGAGAGTGAAATTTCTTAATCGTATCGCTTCTTTTCTTGTCCAAAAGAAAACTTACTGCTAGTAGGATTAAAAAATATCTACTTACAACAGGGGAGTCTAATTATAATTCTAGATTTCTAACTGCAGGGCAAAAGATGAGACAAGTTTTTTAGATAACAATAAACATATCAAAATAAGAGATGCACGGTTCATTATTTTTATGATAAAATTCAAGATTTTTGAGTGAGCTTATGTTAAAAAATAGTACACCATGCACAATGCTTTAAACGCAAAATTTATTTCCCTTTTTTTATTCTATGATCATGAAAATTTTACCAATAAGATCGAGTCGTCTCAGAAAATCAGCTAAGACTGTTGAAAGTCAATATTCACAGTATACCTAAAAACAACGATAATCTACAAAAGACTGAGACCAGTGCCAATATAAGCAAGGATAAGTATAGAATAGTAAGAATAGATAGTAATTCAACCAAACAGATTTGTTGTACGTTTCATTTAACTGTCAATGATCAACTTTAGCTACATTCACATTTAACGAAATATCACCATGATTTTATATTATATTGATCATCAACTTAGAATTATTATATCTGTACGTTTTTCTTTGACGTGATTTATAGAGATAAAAACTTTTTCATCGAAACCCGGCAATATTCATATGAGTACATTGAACATACATGTCAAGACTGAACGATAAGTAAACTTCAAGTGTTGCTTTAGAATTTCAAAAATAAAAGAAATTCATTTTGATTGACTAAATTTGTTGCGAATGCAATAAAAACAGTCATTTACAACTATTCCAATAATAAGTCTAATAATTCAAGTGAATTATAAATAAATTTCAGAATCGTCGCTCGCTCTTCTAAGGATTGGTATTGTTATCGATATTCATCTTAGTATATTTCGTATAGATGAAGCGACTGGAGACGTCAAGATGTGTTTTTAATTCAAAGGTTACCGAACACGAAATAACAGAATTCTGAACATCTTTTCATAATCTAGAGTAGCTCACGTTATTATTTGGAATTCTATAACATTTGTAGTGATAGAATAAATCAAATGGATTATAGTAGACACAAAATTAATTAGTACACACTGGCAAGTATGACACGAGTTTTTTTTATTGCTTTTTTGTTCACAATCTTTTGTTTACAATATTGAAAATAACTGTTTACTACCGCTTCTATTTTTGGTACGTTGCGACCAATAAAAGTAAAAAACGAAATAGCATTGACTACATGGCTTTTCTACCAAAGCAAGAAATAATTGATGATTCAGTTTGTAAAAAAAAGAAGTTTTTTTAAGAAAAACTTTTTATTTTATTAACACAGTAAAGTTAACAAGTATTTATGTTTTTCTTTCATCTAGAAAGCACTAAAGTGATGAAAATCGGTTCTTCATACGTCTGACCTTCATAACTCATTCGTTTTTTTACGCATTCCAACCTATGACGAAAATAACAGCTAGGCATACTCGATGACAAAGTCTAAATTACTTGATATTCTTATTTTTTATTCCTAAGCTCAGGATCAGAGGAAAATTCAACTTCTAACAAAACTTGTATTTGCACGTTCAAATTTTTTTCTCAGATAACACTAAAATTCAAATAGAAACGAAGAAAATAATAGAAAATTTACTTATGATAGTCGTCTTAAAAATTGCACCGGCTTTGCCATTATATTATAATTCAATATTTGAGGAAAAAAACCTAGGATAGAAACGTGTAGAATTATGAACAATTCTAAGTACTGCCATTCTATTTAATCTAATATATAAAACTATATTGCTACTGTCACTAAACTAAAGTATGACAGAAAGACACCTTTCTACACATACACGATCTTTCTCAACTGAAGACGCATTTAATATCTATTCGAGTTCTTTTTTTTCCATACAAAAAACATATGACGACCGATCAATGTGCTGGATAATAGGAAATTTCTAGCTTTATTAGAATGTAGAATTTTTAATTTTTGAATACAACTAAGCCTATATCGGTATTGTTTGGAAAAAAATAATTGAGTCAAAAGTATTAAACAATCATTTTCGATTAGATAATCGAAACAAAATACGATTACTACGCTAATGGATATAATTTATTTACTTTTTATTAAATAAAAGAAATAAAAAGTGATAGTAGAACATTGAACTGTTTTTTAAAAGAAAACAACTTTGTACACTAACTGAATATATTGAGATATGAATATTTTATCTATGAATCTAAGTTTTTTCTGAAATGTGGTTGTTGACAACTAACGATTATCTAAAGGCTTGACTTCAAAATAAAATCAACAATTTTTGTCTATCGTCTGCTTTGTGTACCATGTCAATAATTCGTTGACTACAACAATATTCGCATTTTTATTCGATCTTATGCTCATTGGTCTGTTCACCTTCATGGATTTTTATATTATCAATTGCACTTTTGCTTGACATCTGCATTTACTCTGTTACATTCCTTATTTTAATTGTTGGTTTTGTCTTAAACATTCTGTTTGCTCCATATATAATGTCATATAAGTTTTCATCATGATGTTCAGATGCTTGAAATCCTGCAAATATTTATCGTTACAGTTCAAGAGAAGCTTTAATTTCGTACGAAACGTTTTCAATGATTTTTCAAATCGTTTGATTATGTTATTAGGGTTCTGGTCATATTGGCGATAGAGCACCGATCTATTGTACATACTATTGTTGTACCGAATTAGGCGGGGGGGGGGGGGGGGCAAGTTAAAATTTAAAATTAAAAAAANGTTGATCATCTTATTTTAATGCATACTGCTTGATTATATGCATGATGGTATTCGGTATAGGGGGGGCTACTTTAACTTTAAACTTTAAAAAAAAACGTGCATCAAGTTTGAAGTCAACTTTAAACTTTAAGAGTCAAAGTTAAAGTATAATACTTTAAGACTTTAACTTTAATAAAAGTACTGTAAGAATGAAAAATAATTTTAAGCTCTTTATGTGCAATTTTATGTGGTTTTTAGAGTAACTTTAAACTTTAATAAACAGAGTTTAAAGTTTAAAGTTACTGTAAAAACCATATAGGAACGTACATAACGATCTAAAAATTACTTCTTATTTTTACACTACTTTGATTAAAGTTAAAGTTTTAAAGTATTATACTTTAAATTTAAATCTTAAAGTTTAAAATTGACTTTAAACTTTAATTTTTAAAGTAAAGTTAAAGTGCCACCCCTATACCGAATACCATCATGCATATAATCAAGCAGTATGCATTAAAATAAGATGATCAACCATGCAATATACTCTGAACTATTTAATAAAAAACATTTTTCCAATATTTCTTTTAATGTAAAATATTTTATTTCTAATAGTAATAATAATTAATACCACGTGTTACATTCGAGATTTTCTTTGATGAATCGAATCTCTCCTGATGCTTGTGTTAAAGAAGAAAGTTCAATATTTGGTATTAAACACAATGTATGAATGATATCTTGTTGCAAAATAGGCCCCTAGCTTTTCGAAATTATGTCATCTAGATCATCACTTAGTTTAGAAAGGTCAGAGATAAGCTCGTGGTTTATCAGATTAAAAGATCGTAAGTATAGCACACTGATCGTGGCAAGAAATCAAGAATTACAATGTATTGATTGAGTATGTATCTTGTGGTTTGATAATATTAACAAAAATTTTCACAGATATTTAAAGTTAATAACTAGTTAAGTACTCATGAGAAAAACGACACTAATACAACTGAAAAATATTATTTAATTCGACAAAATAGGGATCAACAAAGTACTATCCCAATTGTTTTTCCAATTGTATGACTCATTCAAATAGACTAGAAAATGATATTCATTGTATTAATTAAGAACTTACAAAAAGCACGAATATAATTGGCCATAAGTCATGGAACACTGATGAAAAACAAAAAGTTGTTTTTCTAAACCTACTCTAATGCCTCTAGATTACTTTTGCAAAAGTTGATTTGCGTAATCGCTATTTCCAAAGTAGGTAGCAGAAAAAAGTTTTTCCATTGGGCATCATCGACTAGGAAACATTCTGAACAGTCAAATGATTTAGGTCAGTGTTGTAGTACTTAGCTTTAACGAAACATTTGATCAAATAACGCTCCTTCGCTGAAGTATAGCATTAAAAATGTAGGGCAAGATATATCTTATCACTTTTCATTCGAATTCACTTTGAAATTAGTGGTGTGATTTGTTTCTCTTTCACTTAATAGTCGTAAGTATATAACATAAGGTCAGCTGCTCACAGTAGCTTACGTATTGTTTTTAACTCATAACATACAATCTGAAGATAGTGGCATTCTAAGACAAGTCAATTCATATTCGAATTACAGAGATAGATCCAAATGATGTAATATAAGTGTCTTATAAAACAAGCAAAGGCGTTCATTGTAGAATATGAAAAACTTCTGTGATTTCCACATTATTACGTGCTCTTTCTGTCGTCTGTAATCTTCAGCATATTTTACGACGCGGCAAAATCTCATTCACACATTCCCAGTCGTGCAAAGCCTTTCTGATCCATTCGGAAGTGTTCATATTGATATCTTACTTTTATTAATTACTTTAAATCAAAATCTTGTATAATTTTCTTCTTGAAAACGTTGATGAAGATGAAAATGAAAATGTACTTCAACAACGAGAACCAAACCAAGAGCTGTTTTTTAATTACAAGTTTGAGAAATTATTACAGCCGTTCTCTAGAACAGAAGCTCATCTTATATTAGAAAATTGCCTCTAAGTAGTTCAACAAGCTATAGCAGAAGACCACAAATTTACATTGGATTTGAAGTTTCTATGCTACTATTTTTGTCAGGCATAGACGTGTTATTGTTACGCTTCTCCCCATTTTCTTTCTTTTCCCTCGAATCGAAATTCCTAAACGCGATACAAGTATCATGATAAAATGTGCCAGACAAGCATAACTATCCTCGACGTGATAGTATTAATGAGGATAAAATATTGTTTATGGGAAGTGAGAATAGCTCTTGCCATAATAGTTATTTTGCTTTTATCTTCCTAAAATTAAGATCAAATAAGCAATAGAAAAGGATTTTTTCGACAGATAAAAACACAAAAGATCTATTCTAACAAAAATATATCTTAATGGATATTCTTTCTTATTACCCGCATATCACTTCGTCATGTATAAAATGATTGAAGAAACAAGCGAATACACAGAGAAGCATATGCAAAAATGTCTTCTTGATAGTTCGTTATGATCCTTAGTTTAACTTCTTTTTGTGAAGTACTCGCTAAAAATTTAAGCGAAAGCTATCAAAAAACAAATGTTTCTTTATTATTTGTTTTATCTTTCATTTATTACAAAATTATTCTTTTTGTTTCAAGAAAAACTTTTATTTATCTTTATTTCAGAAAGAAAACGATTTTATTTATATCTATTTATTTTTATAACTAGAATTCGAAATAATGTAGGATTCCTAGATGGACATAGAAATGCGATACTTTTAGTGGTATATCGAGTTTGATTGTGATATTCTTCTGAAATGCAATGAAAAAAAGGATACTAAATTCAAAAGAAATAAAGGCTTTTATCAAGATTTTTATATTTTGTGATATGCACATTCTGTTAAAGGGTTTTACTCTAAGTTGCTCTGTTCTGCGATGGCCTTTAAAAAGAATGTATCATAATAGAAAAAAAGAATAGATATTTTCGAAAATAATTGTTCGTTTTCTTTCTCTATATTTAATACAAATATGTTTCATTTAATCTTTCGTTCCCTTCATGAGGTCGAGTGATAATCAGCAAAAGCTGGAGAATCGTTTATGCATAATTTTTCTCTAAAAATCTACCTTGTATTTCAGTAGCATAGTCTCACCTATTTCAATATATCAATCGTGAGCTATAATTTAACTCATTTATAAGTTTTTTCTTTCCAGAACACATGGGTGATATTCAAGCAATCCGGAACGATGTAATAGTTTACGAATGCATCACATCATAGTCATAAGCGTCATTCTTTTGTTTAGATCGCGTTGAACAATTCGAGAATAACGGATATCGAAGGAATGCTATCCCAAGAACAAAGCAATTTAAATAATTCCAATCTTCGTGATGATGAAAAACAAATTATTGAACAACGCATTCATGATTTAAAACAACAAAAACAAGATTACTTAATAGCTAATGAAACGTTAGAGCGAGAGATCAGTTATGAAATATCTTCCATCAAATATGCCCCGGTCGAACAGTACGGTCCGTATACGGCCATTGACGGTTACTTTACGACTATTTTACGGGCGAAATTTTGCCGTAATATCTGGCGCAGTAATACGGACCGTATTATCATGAGAGTACGGAGCACNTTTATGCATGATTTTTCTCTAAAAATCTACCTTGTATTTCAGTAGCATAGTATCACCTATTTCAATATATCAATCGTGAGCTATAATTTAACTCATTTATACGCTTTTTCCTTTCAGAACACATGGAGGATATTCAAGCAATCCGGAACGATGTAATAGTTTACGAATGCATCTCATCATAAGTCTCATTATTTTGTTTAGATCGCGCGAAATAACGGAGAAGTAACGCGTATTGAAGGAGAGTTGTCATAACAACAAAGTAATTTCAATAATTCCAATCTTCATGATGATGAAAAACGAATTATTGAACAACGCATTTATGATTTAAAACAACAAAAACAAGACTATTTAATAGCCAATGAAACGTTAGAGCGAGAGATCAGTATGAAATATCTTCCATCAAATATATCCAAATACTAATTTTTGCTTCTTTTTTAGCTCAAATACAAAACCAAGCGGCAAGAGAAAATAAAGAAAATAATTACTAATAATTAACATAAAAACTTATCGTGCCTTTTTATCTATTCTTATTAATGTGAATGAACACTACCGGTTATTTCATTGATCAATTGTCGCAAATAAACTGTTCTTTTTTTTTCGATTGTATTACAAAAAGGATAAAATAAAAATCAATTTACAGCAAAGGAAAATAAATGTAAAAGTCCTTCGAACCAACAATTTCTCTCCAAGTTTTTAATCGTGTCACTTTGGCACAATTCCGTCGTGTTAGTTCTCGTGTGAAATCTTCTGTTACAACTCTTAAATCTTCATATCGAACATGTAATTCAGTTAAGGAAGGTAGATGCGTTTTGGTTTCATCTAATAATTGTTCAACATACTTGATGCTTACTCTCGTAATGTCAAGAAAAGTCAGATGAGGATACTCAACTATTTGATGGGGTTCGACGATGTCAGTTGATTTCTTCCAATTATGTGACTGCGATGAAAGATCGCTAATATAGAAGCGTTGTAATCTTGGAAACGCTTGAGCTATTCGTAAGAAGAATTCATGTTCAAATGGAACCATATCACGCACACATAATTCGATGACATTTTTGAATACAATGTTTGGAAATATATTACCAATACCCAGGAGCTTGACGAACTCAAAAGGAAGCGTAAAAACATGATGTGTAGCTGTGCAAGCAGAAAACGAAACAATACTCGACACTTCTTGATATCCTGTATTCGTAAAATTTTGTTTAATATTATTATTGGATAAAGAACGAGCCAAATCATTTTTATTGTTCTCCGTACTAAGATAAAAGTTGAATGAGTGAAGTCGTGACGTATTCACAGAAAATTCACTTATAAGACTAATCGGATCCATGTAAACACTTGGACAAGCGATACGCAAATATAAAGTTAACTTTTCCAGGTATAACATACGACGAACAAGAGATACGAATTTATCATTATATTCTTCAATTAAACCATAATGTATTAATGAAAACACCTCCATGTTCGGTAGTTCACTCTAAATAATGAAAATGAAAATTACGCGAAAGTGTTTTCTAAATAAAAAAAAAACATTACACTACCCAAGGGGGAAAGCAGCTCTTGATGGCTCCACAGGATTCACGATCTGCTTTTTTTCCCTCGATGCTACCGATTGTTTTTCTAAAAAGTCTCTTCTATTCGATAATTGTAATAGTTCAAATATGATTAATAACTAATGAATCAAGTACATAAATCTTTGTTTTCGCTGTATCTATCTTAATTACTATTTAGTACATGTCTATTGAGTTTCAAATTACTTGGACGTGAATGATTTTATCATAAAAACTACATGTATAGAAGTAGCAGTTGAGAATTGGTAACTTACACATTCGTTCATAATTATTAATTTGTTTGGATTATGGTAGTAAAAATCAATTATCTATCTGTTCCATCATATAAGTTAAAACTTGATGAATTCGGTTCTCACGAGTGATAACTTATTATCAGACAAGCTTAAGGAATATTGAAGAAATTGTACGTATCTATTTTCAAATTTCTCTAGTCTAGTTCTCAAAATTGAAAATATCTTTTGCTTCTAAAGACTGGCTTGAGTCAATTTTTCTTAGACTAGGTTCCGCTTTTTTGGAGTACAACTAAAGAAGCCTACCAAGTTGTGGACAATTGATAAATCCGTATCCATACAATAAATTCGAACAATAAATGTAGACAAGTGTTTGAGACGACCATCAAGTAAACAAAGACAATCAGTGAAATATGAGACATTAATACATAAATAAGTAAGAGTTGACGATGAGAAAGTATTCGATGATAAATAACAAATTGATAGACCTGGAGATGCAGGGATCATTGTTCCAGTCACATTCAAATGATTTAGATTCTCGAAGGAGGTTAAAACCTGAGCAAAAACGTTTTTTGTATAATCTTTCAATGATCCTACTTCACGTTCGCAATCTTTAACAAAAAGATCAAGTTTTGTAATCTGTCTTTTGAAGATATGTCGAAGCGACGAATCATCTAAATTAAAATATAATAAAGAAGCGTCATCAATAATCTATTCTATGCAGTATCGTTGTACTGTGCTGCTTCAGTTGATGGAATGTAGGACACTTCCTTACCTGCGAAATAACGTGATGAATTGTCACGTTGAAAATTAATGATTTTCAACTCAGTCAAATTGGAATAATTAGCAGCAAGAAGAATACGTTCCATGAACGCTGGTTCAATAGTAAGACATTTCACATTGTCATGAATTTGAGGTAATATATAATTGAAAAACCGATCAAGTATTGAATCAACCATCGTCGTATTATGAATAATTGACACTAAACTTAAGGTTTTAGAAAAAGTCTCTTCTCGTGCTAAACTGTTAAGTCGTTCATTATCGATACCAAGTAATGCATAAAGAACGTCAACATTGTCAAGTTTCTTCAATATATTCAATAACACCTCGTCAGGTAGATCAAGAAGTTGAACACTAGATTGATTCATGTTTAATATCGACTGTAATACTCTTGTCAATATAGATATGTATATATTGATGAATGTTCTTTGTGTCGCTAATGACCATTGACATAAATGAAGAATAGAATGGCGGAATGAACTCATTTTGAGGAGAGAAAAAAATTACATCGCTGCATCACCCAATGAAAACATTGACGTACATACATATAAATTTTCATATAATGTTCGGTTATGCGGACGTCGAGAAATATGTCATGTTCGAAAACAAGGAGAAAATATGTTGAAAAATAAAAAGCTGAGGAAGTTTTGTCTCTCTGGTAGATACAATTAATTTTTATTGAAGCCTTAGACGTTTCAATAACAGATTTATACTTAGTTCACATCAGATGATTGATAATTTTTTATCACACGGTCATTTCTTGATAAAATTCTCCATAGAAATACTTTTCCAAAAAGCGTGTATCTGTTCATAACGGTGTTGTTCTGGAAGTTTGGGTGTAGCTGCTCTCTATTGTGCAAATTCATAACCACACCCACTTTCAGAAATAAAGGACACTACATTTTGACAGTCTTGCACTTGTCATGGCCCTGAATTTTTTAATAATGAATTAAAACTCCAATTTTCATATGATTTTACTTTACGATTTCATTCGATTCGTTTCAATTATGAAGGGAAAAACAAGCAATATTGCACATCTCGACATTTTCTTATCATCATCAATATTAGTCTTTAACAGCTGTCTTGCTTCTTCAAATATTCGATATGATGAACTAAAAATATGCTTGGATATTGCTGAACTTACAGAAGTTCCAAGTAAGCGATCATTCATAAAGATCGCTGAAGCTATCTACTTCTACAGTGACTGTTTATAGTAGAATGGGTTTATCCTCTATACTATCACTGAACTTGATTACTCGGTCATAGTTTGACAGATTAAAGTACTCATATCTTAAAACCTGAAGCTGTCAATTTGTATTTGTTCTATTAGATTTTATATTTATTGTTTTCATTTTTACTTCATGCATGCTGTCATATAAGTTTTCATCATGGTCATATATTTGTAATGATGCAAATGTTTAGCATTACAATTTTTTTTGCCTTGAACAGTACCTATGCATGTGATGTAACTGTGGAAAAACACTAAATTTTAGGAACTATTTTATTTGTGCCGACGATCAATTTGGAATTCTTTCAGAAAAGTTCATGACTGATCCTATTTAACAATAAAAAAAGTGACAGCTGGATCTTGATCGTAAGTGAAGATGTGAATTTAATACACATTATCTAAATTGACTTGGGAAAAATAATTTTCATACAAATGTTCAGAGACGATAGTCAGTTATTCTTGAGAAAAGAAAGAGATGAAAAAGAAATTACCTTAATTTTTTCTTATTTTATGTCTCATTCGGAAAGAAAATGACATGCATCAATTTTATTAAGAGCTTTCGGAAAACAATTAAATAATCGATAACAGAACATGCAATGCTGGCTGCAGAAGTAAGAAAAAGGTTCTATTTTCTCCGCTTATTTTTATGCATTTAAACTATAAAAATCAGTTTATTTCTGTAATTTTATTCCCAAAGTAAGAATTTCGAAATGTTTCATCGAGAGACTATTTTTTTGAGAATTGAAAACATGAACGAAAGGAAAAGATAGATAATGATTTGTTTTCAATGGTTAGTATTAATCTGGAGAAAATTTGAATAATCATTTGAGCAAAATAACTGTTGTAGCGTACAGTTGAAGCTATCGATTAGTCCTATAAAAAAGAATTTCTCGCCACTTAGAATATCATTAATAATAAACGGCAAAATAGATTTAGGAAGATACTTTATTCTTTTGTCCTTTATCAGATTTTAAGCCCGCTACGTATGTGAGCTGTTTTTATTTAACTGACAAATTGCTAGTTTATACCACAGGATCAAGTGTCTTCAATAAATAATGTTCTCTTTTTTTTCTATAAAATATAATCTAATGGTTAGAAAAACTAGTTTGAACCATCAAGTATATAACAAGTCAATGAACGTGTTCATTTTAGGGATGAGTCAAGGCGATATCAAACAAGCGTCCTCCAAAACAAATACAGCCGCTCATCGTAAAATATGGACACAGTCAGCATTTTCAACATCATTACGTGATCGTCCTGTGGTATTCAATTCTCAGCATATTGATGATCTCGGTAGAAAATATTCAATGAATACAAATGAACGAAGACGCTTACGAATTGACGAAGGCAGTTTACTTATGACGAGTGATCCAGACAGCATATTTTATCGACACTTACGTGAAGAATTACAAAATACAAGTTCTACTGCAACTCGTCTAGTAGATGAAAAAGAGAAATTGAAGTTATTTGAACAGTATGGTCCAGAACTTGTTGAATTTATCAAAGACAGAGGAAATCTAAAATCAAAGGTTGACAAAGTTTTTATCATTTAGATTATCCAAATACTCTCAAACTATTATTATTATTTGATCTTCTATTGTCGAAAAAAATATAAAAATAAAATCAGATTCACGACACACATAGTCAACTATAGTTAGGTTCAATACTATCGACTAAACATATATGCGTATATACTCAACGCATGGATACATATGAAATAGTTGGAGTTCTATGAATAAAAATTTTCGGAAGAATTCAAATCTTAACTAGCTATAATATTCAATCGTCTGGCGAAGCTTGCAGTTTTAAAGCAGATTTCGCTATATTGATTCTGATCAAATGAATTATTGAATGTAGATTAAAATTTTTATTTAAAAATTGCTAAAAGCAACATCAACTAAATGGACAAACAATATGCATAAACGTGTATTTTTCATAGCGGCGAAGCTGAAAGCACATCGAACTACATATATATGGCTACACATAGTAAAGTAACATTGTGTCATTGTAGAATACTACCGTAATGGAAGTACTTGCTTAATAGTCAGACATATTTCCAAAATTGGATCTCTCTTCAATAAACTGCCTGTATATAAACGATAGGTAGGGCGGGCATAACGAGATGTGAAACTATAAATGATATTGTCCTTGTCATCATCATGTATTTGTTTATGATAGATAACACAGACATGCACATCAAGATAACGAAGTTGAGGTAAATCAATATCGATAAGATTTTTCCAATTCTTATCATCAAGCCAATCAACTTTGGCAGTGTGAAAATCAATCATAGAGAATGTTTCCAAGCATTTAAAGTGCTTAAACAATTGTCGACACTGGTTAAATGAAAGATCTTTTAGTCTCGAAAAGACTAAAGTATGTACATTATATAGATTCATTGGAAAATTATTGAGTAATTGTTCGTATGAACTGTTATGCCATAATTTAAGTGTATGAATCTGCCATGGAGAAATATCAGGTAAAATATGATTCAATTAAAAATTCTTTTCTCTGATAGAATGAATTGCGCATCCTCTTATGCACGAGAAAGCGGTTAATTGGTTAAGACGTAAATTGAGTCCATGAAATATAGTATAAATATCGAGCAAAGTAAAATAATTAAAAATCTCCAAGAGTAACTCATTTGGTAAATATTCAAATGCAGTATATACAGAAGCGCGACATTTTTTCCTTCTTTTATAAATTCTATTTTCGCCATCAGACGATGAAGAAAAACAAGCGAACCTCGATAATAAAGCTTGCATGAAAGTATACGATCCATCGGACATTTAAACGAAAACTAGCCCAGACAATTTTGTTTACGTGTCTTCTATTTAAATGAACACAAAAACGACAAAAAATAAGGAAAACATGTGGGAATCTTGAACAATCGACATAGTTCGATTTTTGTGTACTCCAAAAAAAATGAGTACACTCTAGATTCGGTCAGTGTGTCCGGCCGTTAACACGATAACTTTTGAAAGCCTCATCCAATTGCCATGAAATTTTGTACACAGAATGATCTCATCAATATCTCAGTCGAGTTCGAAGATGAAAGCAATCTGTGAAGAAATGGCTGAGTTATCGAAAAAATTGTCATTATTGACTAGACCATCCCTGAGGGGGGGTACAGGGATTTTTTCAAAAAATAATCTTTTTTCTCAGAATTATTCACAACATATATAAATCGACTCAGTTTTTAACGCTGATTCCGAATCTGATACTAGTTTTGAACTAAATCGTAGCTTTCTAACGAAACATCGCCTGAAAACGGTCTCAAAATGCACAAAAACTGCATCCAGAAACCAAAGTGCTTAATTTCTCACGGTAATTTTGGTGTTCAGACATTCTAGAATGACTCATATGTCCCATGTACTTTTTGCAGTACACATAGCTTTCGGATAAAATCCGAAGTTTCCACATTTATTTATGTTAATCAGAGCCATTTCTAGCATGGAAAGAGACTATCAGAAAACTATTGATTCGCTCATACTTGTCAATCAATGATACAAGCAGAAAATAGAAGGAAAAAAAAGAAAATGCCATTAATATTATATTATATAATAAGTTGAGCATATTTTAAACTATGCCGCGTAATTACAACACATCAGAGAATTATGTAAAATAATGTTCCTTTCTATTTGATGCGAAATATGTTCATGGGAGTCTCTATAAAATAAAGGGCATAGATAAAAGAGTTGCAATGCAAGAAGAAAACTCTTTCAAAAAGCTTATAGTTTAAGAGAGAGTCCATGACTCCATCGAGAAACCGAAGCACTCGATAAAATTTAGATTTTTTATTTGATATTTCCATCTTGTTCAGCATCATTTAAAACCTATAAATCCAAATTTTTACTTCATTTGGTGGAGCACGTGAAAAGTTAAATCGATTGTACTGTCGAGGACTACCAATATTTTTTGAAAAAAAAGATCAAAAATGATCAGTGTAAAGTTGAAATATTTTAGCCGGCAGAAGATTAATGAAATTTTTAGTGTAATATACCAAAAGTTAGAGGGCGAAAAGCTGAACAAAATGGTATATTACATATTATTTTTCTATGAGCAAAACTCATTTTATTGGTAAAATACTATCGATGACTGGCTATTTTTCGAGTAAAAATATGTGAATTTTTTCCATTGTTTCGTTTACCATCCAGCCATTAAATGCGGGCCCAGAGATGTTTTTGTCTTATATCGTGGAGATTTTTCTCCTCTACAAAATTTCGATCATTTTTTTCAACTTTGTTTCTCGAAAATCAACATTGACGATTTTTTTACCTGGGGTACCCCACAGGTATCATCGAAAAAAAAGATTTGTTTTATCACGAGCCAAAGCCAGATGTAATTGTATATTTAAGCCTACTGATTTCGAATATCGTAATTAGACGTGTCAAAATTACTTTGCTTTCGAAGTAGCCGAGACCACTCGGTGGACACTATTTTTCATTGTTGGGACTGTTATACAATAGCATTTGTTTATAAATTAAGTAGAAAATGTATTTACTGTCCGAAAATCTTGAGTTCTTCACGACTCTGAACCTTTCACTCCGGAAAATGAACCCTTTAGAAAAAAAGAGATAACGATTCGGTAGTAAAAATTGACCTCTTTTTTAATGTATCATTTTTTTCCTTAATAGTTTCTTACGAAGCGAGCCTTGCCACAACGTCAAATTTTGATCGTAAGCGTAGTTTTTCAAGCCCTATCGACTGAAGGCAGCAAAAGTAATAGAAAAGTTGTGTAACTGGGTGAAAAGTTAAGAATAATAATAGTTTCTATAAAATTGCTGTAGGTGACCAGAGCTACGATTATATATGAGATCTTGAAGTCAACTGATGTGTAGCCCATCTTGCAAAGCTTATCAACTGTGCATACAATAAAAAATTTATGGATATCTGCTCTTTCTTTCGATTTCAAAATTTATGTGAAATTTCACCTCCTTGCAACGACTCATACATCTTGTGAAGTGAATTTGTGAGTCGAAAGAAAGAGCGGAGATGCATAGTTTTTTTTACGGTGTGTACAGTTCATTAAGCTGTAAAAGATGGATTATATATCAGTTGATTTTATGATCTTATATATTTTAGTGGCGGTGGTCCCCTGCTGCAATTTGATAGAAATTAATCGTGTTCTTAATTTTTCATCCTGTTGCACAATTTTTCTGTTCTTTTTGAGATCTCCAGTCGATAGAGCTTAAAAACCTGCACTTATGATCAAAATTTGATGTTGTGGCAGACTTTCTTCATTCTCAAGGTAGACAAATATGGTGAGAAGGGGTTAAATTTTGTCCAGGAATCCCTACTTTTTTCCATAAGTTACATTTTTTCGGTGTAAAAAGTTGAGATTCGTAGAGAACTCAAAATTATCAGCTAGCGGAAATCATTTTGCACTAAAGTTTATCGTTTCATTATTCTATGAGGGCCCAAACAATGAAAAATAGGGTCAAACCAGTGGTTCAGACTTTATAAGGAATAAAGGAATTTTTGGAGCTCTTATTGTGATATTCGTAATCAGTAGGCTTAAATATACAATTACATCTGGCTTTGGCTCGTGATAAAACAAATCTTTTTTTTCGATGATACCTGTGGGGTACCCCAGGTAAAAAAATCGTCAATGTTGATTTTCGAGAAACAAAGTTGAAAAAAATGATCGAAATTTTGTAGAGGAGAAAAATCTCCACGATATAAGACAAAAACATCTCTGGGCCCGCATTTAATGGCTGGATGGTAAACGAAACAATGGAAAAAATTCACATATTTTTACTCGAAAAATAGCCAGTCATCGATAGTATTTTACCAATAAAATGAGTTTTGCTCATAGAAAAATAATATGTAATATACCATTTTGTTCAGCTTTTCGCCCTCTAACTTTTGGTATATTACACTAAAAATTTCATTAATCTTCTGCCGGCTAAAATATTTCAACTTTACACTGATCATTTTTGATCTTTTTTTTCAAAAAATATTGGTAGTCCTCGACAGTACAATCGATTTAACTTTTCACGTGCTCCACCAAATGAAGTAAAAATTTGGATTTATAGGTTTTAAATGATGCTGAACAAGATGGAAATATCAAATAAAAAATCTAAATTTTATCGAGTGCTTCGGTTTCTCGATGGAGTCATGGACTCTCTCTTAAACTATAAGCTTTTTGAAAGAGTTTTCTTCTTGCATTGCAACTCTTTTATCTATGCCCTTTATTTTATAGAGACTCCCATGAACATATTTCGCATCAAATAGAAAGGAACATTATTTTACATAATTCTCTGATGTGTTGTAATTACGCGGCATAGTTTAAAATATGCTCAACTTATTATATAATATAATATTAATGGCATTTTCTTTTTTTTCCTTCTATTTTCTGCTTGTATCATTGATTGACAAGTATGAGCGAATCAATAGTTTTCTGATAGTCTCTTTCCATGCTAGAAATGGCTCTGATTAACATAAATAAATGTGGAAACTTCGGATTTTATCCGAAAGCTATGTGTACTGCAAAAAGTACATGGGACATATGAGTCATTCTAGAATGTCTGAACACCAAAATTACCGTGAGAAATTAAGCACTTTGGTTTCTGGATGCAGTTTTTGTGCATTTTGAGACCGTTTTCAGGCGATGTTTCGTTAGAAAGCTACGATTTAGTTCAAAACTAGTATCAGATTCGGAATCAGCGTTAAAAACTGAGTCGATTTATATATGTTGTGAATAATTCTGAGAAAAAANCACTAAAAATTTCATTAATCTTCTGTCGGCTAAAATAATTTCAACCTTAGACCGATCATTTTTGATCTTGTTCTTCGAAAAATATTGGTCGTCCTGGACAGTTAAATCGATTTAACTTTTCACGTGCTCCACAAAATGAAGTAAAAATTTGGATTTATAGGTTTTAAATGATGCTGAACAAGATGGAAATATCAAATAAAAAATCTAAATTTTATCGAGTGCTTCGGTAGATGGTATGATCCTCGATAGTCTCATGAACTTTCTCTTAAGCAGAAGTACCTAGAATGTGACACCATAAGAAACAAATGATTAGAAGAAAAGCAACGATTGTTTGCTTCAATAGTTTTCATTGACATATTGAATATGAATGTTAAAGTGTAGAAATTAATAGGTTCACCTGACTATTAACAATATAAACATAGTTTATACGCAATCACATCATGTACTAGTATAAAAGGTTCAAGCTATTAAATCGACTTGCTTTACATAAAATTGAGCACTATAGAATCGAAAATATAAGGTCAACTCTATGAATTATTTTCGATCAACAATAAAATACAGGAAAAACTCCGTAGAAGCAAAATATATTCAGCATAAGTTTTAATTTAATTTTCATGGCACTATAATTCAACTGAACAATCGAAGTTTCCATTAGGGATCAAAAAGGGCAGGGTAGAGCTCAAACAGTAAAACAAATTAAATAATAAACGCAACAGTTAAAATGTTACATTATATCTGCTTGTTCCTATTTGTTAGTTTGGAAATATGAGAAGTAAAATAGAATGTTTATAAATGTTTGATCAATTTAAGCTGCTTTTTATTCTGCTCAAGAATATTTAGTGTCAATACGTCACTAAAAATAAAATCTTAAAGGTAAATATGTCTGAAGGATTGAAGAAATCAAAATTTTTTACCCAGAGTTATCGAAAAATCTCTTATTTCGCAAGCAACAACATGTTTTGCAGAAGTATTCTTTTTTAGAGTTGCAGTGATACAAAGCATATTTTCATTTGATAATCAAATGAGCACTCAGTAGATGAAAGAATTCTCTCCTGAACTATTGTAATACGAATCAAGAAAAATAATACCAGCTTCTAATTAAAGATTCTATCAGAACATGATTTCTTCTATCAAATAAAGCAGTAGCTATTTCATTAATCAGTCTGTATAGTTTCTATAGTAGCGGTTTTAATTAAAGTATACATTCATATGACACAGCATAGCCGGCAGATGTTGATCTTCGTTCGATAATTAACCGAATCACAGTTCAACATTTTCATTTAATGGAGACTAAAAATCATCTTGAAATTATATCTAAATTGCGACAACGTCTTTTACGTCTTATTAAACTGGGCGAACCAAATCAATTACATGCAACAACACCAACAAATAACGATCATAATACTAGACCACCGGTTGATTTAACAGCAAATGTTGAAGAATATGTTCGATGTCTTTTCAATACATCATGTTCCTTAGAAAAATTTATTCAAAACGTACAGTTGACATTAAATGTTACCATTAAAAGTAGTTTAAGTCTTTTTCTTGTTGAAACAATTCCACTTGCACATCAATATTTACAACAACACCAATATGATTCACTTTCATGGGATACATTTAAAACGATTCCATTACAAGCATCATATTCTGTAGGATTTTCTCATCGAATTTAATAAATATTCATTTTCTATGCGTAGACTATGAACTCTAATACATCTCATCAGTCGACAAATATGACTCAATTGCCATCGTTTCAACAAGCTCGTTTTCGCCTGCCACAGTCATATCCACAATTAATTGATCTTACTTCATCATTGCCAAGTCGATATACACCAGCACAAACATTTATAACACCTAACATGCGAGCAGATGCTAATTCTTATGAACAAAAATTAATTTATCGATTTGCTCGACAGAATTTTTATTTAAATCCATGTGGTGAAAAGTTATTTTTACAAACATTATATACATTTCTTAAACATATCATTCGACGTCTTCGTTTCTTTACTCAACATCGTAGTGATACAAGATTCTTAAATTCAAATGCCTACGAAATGACAAGTAATACACGCGAACAAATACGTTTTCTAATCGAATTAAATAAAATACAAAATGGTGAAGCAAATAATAATCTCAATATGAGCATATTTCAACGAAAACCAGAAATGCTAAATATAATTGAAGAAGATTTAAAAGGAACACGAACACGTGAATATCGAACATCTATTATTGAACAATTGCGACAAAAAGAAGCCGATGAAACCGCATGTCTTGTCTTACGTGACACTCGTCTGAAAAGAAAAAAATTAACAGATAACAATCCAAATATGACGCCAATAAGAATTCTTCGAGCAAGTTTACAAGAATTGATTGCTGTTATGGAAAGTGAACCTGTTTTAAAACGATCGAAAACATTACTATATGCTAATGCAAATAGATAATTTTATTATTATTATTTCGCTTTTTCTGATTAAATTTTGTATTAGTCAATCGTCTTGGTCTAGATGAATAAATAAATAAATCAGAGGAGAAAAAAAATTTTGTACATATAAATCATTCGTAAGAGAATCGCATTCTATAGACCTCTGTCGATCAACATATGAACTGGTTGTATTATAGTCGCTCAGTTAGGTGGTATTGCCAAGATTGTAACCTGAATGGTTGAGTGCCAAAATAGAAAAGTAAAACAAACATAAAGTCTGGTTTTGTATTGTATATAAATTTTCTCATAATGTTATTTAATCGAACTAAGTATTTTCGATTTATATCAGAAATATTTCTTCAACAAAGACGATCGTATACTGAAATACGTCAATTAGAAGAATTGCAAAGGCTTTACGATTTATTAAAACATGAGTCTCTATGTAAATTTTTATTTTTTTTATTTTTCCTTATTAAATTTAATTAATTATTTATTTTTTCTTTGAATTAGCCTCCACACATGGTTATTCCAAAAAAATGGATCCTAATGGAATATTTTCTAATAATGAATTAGATTTACAAAAAATAAAAGTTTATGGTTTTGATTTTGGTTTGTTATATCTAATTGATTATCAGTATAAAAATTATTAATTTTTCTTTACATAGATTATACATTAGCACGTTATAAGCCAGCATTACACTCATTAATTTATGATAATGCTAAAACATTTCTTGTCAAGAATTTACGAGTAAAGCGTCCTATTATTTCTTTAAATTAAAAAATAATAAACTTTTATTCTTGTTTTTGAAAGTATCCCGATCAGTTAATGAATTTTTGTTTTCGACCTGGCATGGGTGCACGTGGTCTTCATTTAGATATCAAACGAGGATGGTTGATGAAAGTTGATAGTTATCATAATATTCAATTGGGTACTGTTTATCGGTAGATATTTTACAAAACGAAAGTTCATGTAAGATAATTTGATTTTTCTATTTAGCGGTATGAATGCAATACCAGATGACGAAGTAATAGCTGCACATCATGGTACAAAACTATCGGTCGATGTCGTTGGTTATCTAGGAAGAACAACGAATATGTTTCAATTTGTTGATATCTTTTCAATACCCGAAATTACACTTTTGCGAGATGTTACTCAAGTATATCGTAGAAGTTTTATGTTTATTTTAATAATAAATGTTATTTTAGTATTTTATTGATAATAGTATTCCCTTTGGTTCGGAATATGTACATTATGATGTTTCGGTCTGTTTAATCATGAGCCAAAATTAATTAATTTAATCTGTTTTGATTTCATTAGGAGGCGGTTGCTGCATTTCATAAAAGTGGAATGATGCATCAAATAGTTGGAGAAGATGTCGGTGAGTTTTACTCAAAATGAATTTACCAATGAATATTATATTGGGACGCTTTTAGAAACGTATTTTGAAGAAAATGTTCGATTAAAACCATTTCTACAACATCTTCACGATGGAAATAAACAGATATTTTTAATAACAAACAGTACTTATTGGTATGTGAATCGTGGTATGACCTATTTACTTGGAGACAATTGGCGAGATTTTTTTGATGTTATTATATGTCAAGCTAGAAAACCATCATTTTTTGGTGTTGAAAAAAGGTTTACACTTAGTGCTTATTCTATTGCATATTGATGATTTATTGTTTGATTTTAGACCATTTCGAGAAATTGATGTAAATAAAAATTCTAAATCATGGAATCTAGTAAATAAATTAGAACATGGAAAGGTTTATGTAGAAGTAGGTTGTTGATATTGAAAAATGAGCGCTTTTAGAATGTTCAATTTATTATAAGGGTAATCTTGCTAATCTCATTGAAATGACACATTGGAAAGGAAATGATGTTTTGTATATTGGTGATCATATTTACGGCGATTTAGCAGTAAGTTCATTTTTATATACAAGAATAATATTTAGTTATATATTAATAGGATTTATTTCTTAAATATGGATGGAGAACAAGCGCGATTCTAGAAGAAGTTGAAGTAAGTGATTTATTTCGAATAATCCAAAACTTTTGGATGATTTCTTTGTTTTTAATTAAAGGATGAAATAAACATAATGAACTCTGACTCATTTCAACAAACAATTCAATGGGTAAAAGCAATTTTGAACAAAAGCAAAAAATTAAATATTTTCTAACAATTATTTCTTTTTAGCTAAATGTTCTTCAATGGCTTATCAATCAGTTACAAGTAAGATTACTTCAAACAAAAAGATACATTTTTATACCGCCGTATATATAATCGTTCTTATAAACACGGGAAGTGTTCTCGTAATCTGAGACGTCGGAAGAACAACTATCAATGCTGCTCACTTATGTTTATTTTATTACGTTGTGCACCTAAAACAACCAAATGTATCAGTGACACTTGGAATAGCTTCACGATAGAAGCATGAGACTCTCCACCATAAATTGAGTCTAATAGTTCTGATCTGGAACAGTTGCACTCCATGAATCGCTACTATTTTTGATGAAACGCGAAGTTTCTATTTTGAATACAAGGGCAAACTACTAAACTCTTATTGCAAGCAATAACTTGACTGTATTTATTTACACGTTTAATGCAAATAAGTTCGATGAGTATGTTTTTCATAAAGGTAAGAACTCGAAAATTGATGAATCATAACTACAGTACAATGTAAATGATCAAGGACAAGTTGGCGTGTGCGATCAAGCTTTATTATTACGCAAATGCACTGAAAATACGAATTCAATATAAATAAAGAAAATATTAGATTTCATCAGGGAAGGATTATTTTTGTTCGTGAATTAATAAAGCAGCACAAGTGGAGGATAATCAAGATTATCACAAAATAAAATATCATCTTTTCATAGATGATTGTGATTTACGTTACAAGAACACCCATAAACATTGCTTTATTGTTTTTTAAATTAAAGGTCATTGCTGGCTCTGAAGCTGATCTTCTAATGAAAAGTTGGGTGACTGAACGAGAAGAAGAAAAGTAGGATTTGCGATGTTTACTTTTCTTTTAAAATTGTTTTTCTTCATTCAAGAGCAAAATCTCGTGATTTATTTAATCCATATTTTGGTTCTGTCTTTCGTACACATACAGTGCCAACCTATTTTCATCGACGTTTAGCTCGTTTTGCCGATGTTTATACATCAAATGTTTGCAATTTCCACCATTATCCGGTAAAAAAGAATTATTATTGATTGTACAGTTTGTATTTTCATTTATATTTATTCTAATATAGCTGGACTACATATTTTTTCCGCGTCGTGTGGCATTAGCCCATGAGAATGTTTTACCAACTCCAGATATCAATTTGCTATTAATGGAAACTGCCCGGCACGCAATGCGTTTCGAGACAGCCCCTGCTCAACAAGAAAACTGACAAAAAATAATGTACCAAAGTTTTATTTATCCCGATTGGCTTTCCGCTGTATTGTTATGTTGTATTTTTTCTTTTTATTTATATAGAATAGATATTTTGTTTTGATATATCTATATCAATATGTATAGATATAGATATATCGAAATGAATAAAGTAATTTTTACAGATAAAATTTCTTCGTGTATAGAATTTTATTTTATCCTGGTAAAACGTGACAAAAGTTTTTGTAGAAATAAATAAAACTAATTTTAAATATTCTTTTGCAATTAATCACTGATGATACATGTGTTGTAGTATTGCTGAAAAATTTGAAACCCATAAGTTTTTGATTTTTTTTCTAGCTTTCATGGACGACAGGTAAAGACAAACTAGGCACCACTTTTTTATTAGCTTGACGTATAAGAGCTTGAACGATAACTACTGCAAACATCATAACTATGCCCTCGAACAAAGTTACATTGAAAAAAACAACAGAAACAATCAATGAATTCAATTCAATAAAAATATTTCTAATTCGATTTCCATATTTATTATTAAACAATACATTCGCTTGAAATAGCAGTAGAATACACGATAGATTATCGAACATACAAGATAACATTTTTGGTTATGGTTTCAGGCCGTTTTTTATTGATCTGATCGAAACACGATTAAAGAACTCGATATCTTAGCTTGGACCAACATCTACTAAAATCTATTGAATATAATGATGACATTTGGAATAGATAGCTAATGAATCATATTGTCTTCTTGTCACTAAAATTAAATAGAATTTCTATCAGAAAAAACGCAACTCGAATGATATATTTATGAAAATTCTATCTGATTATATTCAATTCAATAGATAATTACTCTATTCAATTTTTTATTAAATTATCATGATACGTATCTATAAGAATATTGTCATATAGTTTTCAACGAAGACGATCAAGTCAATTGCGTAGCTACACTTTCATCAATTGATTCTGACCAAAAATGAAATGTTTCATCGTTCATCAACTTTCAAATATTTTGCTCAGAATAGAAACTATGGTAGAAGTGTAAGTCAACTCGATCCATTTTTCTAAAACTGAAAATTTCGAGCTTGATTTCAAGATATTCGACGCAATATTTTATTTTACACACGCTAGAAACGAGTTTATTCATAGAGATATAAAGTTCTACCATGAGAAGGAACAATAATTCATATGGTTGTACAGCTTAGAATATAAATGATTATACGGTTCAAGCAAAATCCCTCGAGGCTTTTCAATATAATGAGAAAAAGAAAATGCCAATTATAGTTCATTCTTTCCCTCTTTTCTCGGCTTTTTTCCTTTGTTTCTTATATCCTTTTTTTTCTTTCTTTCATGAATTCATTAAAATCACATATAATTTTTCTTATCATTCAACATCGTAGTGATCGCAGCAAGAACCGTCCCTCTTTTCTGTTGTGGTCGTCATAATCGACATATTGAATAGAAATCTTAACAAGATGACGTTGACTTGATTTTTTTTTGTTTTCAATGTCAAGGCCGAAAAAAATGTATATAATCGACAAAGTTACTTGATCATACTTCCGTGTCGTTTGTTTTCGACTCGTTATTCATAGATATAACCTAATTGAAATTCTGGCGACATACTATGCATCCGTTTCCGCTTGATAATCAAACTGTTTTATTTGAAAAATTTCATTATATTCGCGTTCTTTCGCTTTTCGAATCAACTCTCAAGGTCTAAAACAAAAGCAAAATCGAAGCTCGATTTTGACATCATCAACTTAAAACAAGCAGAAACGAGATGACTGATGAAGATTATGGAGATGAAATGCTAACAGTAGAAACATTACACATGATGCAATCACTCGCGCCGCCCCATGATCAGAGAGCATATACCCTAGGGATAGATATGAGTCTAATAGTAATAACTCAGCAAGAAGCTTATAAAACTCCGGACGCAACTTTCGTCCTATAATTTCATAGTGGACCACGAAGAAGAAAGTTCAGTTGACCTCATGCGAAGCTAATCATCATTTTACTGATCTATTTGAATGTTCATTCATTTCATGTCAATTTTGAAAATTGTTAACAAATGGAACCATATCAGATTGACTTCTTTTTGTCTTGAAAGCTATCATTTTGATCATATCTTATAATGATTTGTGTGGTGATTAAGCTATTCCTTCGGGTTAATGAACAATGACGATAAGATTTGACAAGTATGTCTTTCTAATTTCACTTTTTTTCTCTTCTTCTTCTTCTTCGAGACTTTTAATAATATAGAGTATTAAGCTTACACGATTGCTAAGGCTATTTAGTATATGTTCACTCATGTAAGCCAGAAAATATATCGAACAAAAAACGTAATGATTTTAGTTTGTTTGTGGTTTTCCGTAGAAGACATCAACTATTTATATTAAATATCTATAAATCTGTCTATATGTCTCTTTATTCTATATGTTTCAATCTACTTTTGTTTATATCTTCATATATTTATATCGCCATTTTTTCGTCATCACTGCCATCCGGTTTCTTCTCCTTTTTTTCTCTTTGTCTCTCTCCCTCTCTCTCTCTCTCTCTCTCTCTCTCTCTCTCTCTGAGAAGAGAAACAAGAGAAAAAGAAAGAAAAAATTGTTCAGTTCCATCGATCTCACTCGTTCGCTTGCATGTCCATCATAATTGTCATGAAAATGCTCCCTCGAGAGTATATGGGTTACATACACGCAAATAATTATTAGAGCACTATTATATTTATTCTCACAATAACAAAAAATCAACGATCAACGAGAACCAACCAATTAAATAGATACATTATTCAAACACAATCATTAAGCATGCACTACGGATGGTTAACTTCGTTGCTTTGATCTTTTTTTTTATCTGTATTGTTGGTAAGTAATGATTAGATATTAAAAGCTTGATCAAAAAGAAAAAAGAAAACGGTTCACGTATGTAACGAAAATGACGTCAATTGGCAATAGTGCACTGAGCACCATATGCAACTTGAGAATGATTCTTGATTGAACGGTCAATGAATAGCGTGTGTTTCATATAAAATCAATGCCATTGTATTGTTTGATTTGAAACGATTCTTGAATACAGCTTGGCCACAGATAGAAATGATAGAACAGATAAGCTATGTTCACGCCAAACAATACAATCAGACAAACGGCGTCAAGCTTGGTACTCCTATCTTCCGTTTTCTTCTCTTCAATGTATTCATCATTGGAAGCTTTGCTTGCTCTCTTAGTCTTCGTTGCGACTTGAATTTCAATGGCATACTGCTCAAGTGATTCGTTAGGTTTTATTTAGGAGAAGAAAAAAAGAGAAGCAAATCGACAGACAATTATGAGTGAGGCGGGGCAGTGGACATTATTTGAAGCATTTTGCGTGCTCAATTTCAAAGAAACTTTCTAATCAGAGTCTATGATCTTTCAGCAGAAAAAAAAACAAGAAGTTAGATCATCGTATCTTTCCTTATGTTCATTTAGAATAACTAAGACCGAAGAAAAAAGAAAGGCATGCAATGTCCGGCTTATATTATTGTTCTTCTCTCGTTTATTTCTCATCTAGATGCTCATCATGCTTTAGCTATTGAGCAACAACCATTTGAATTATCGACTGCATCCGAACAAGAACATACTATAACCAGTGTACTTATGCAATCAGTGATATTACCTTGTAAAGCTATCCTACTCATTATGGAACCTGATAGAGTAAAATATAAAATCTACTAAAACAAAAATCAAGTTTTATTTTCAATTTTAATAGGTTATGTGGTATAAAATTACCAATTCTGGTCAATCATCTCTAAGTGTTGACAACTATTTAATTACAAAAGATTCTCGTATAAGTGTTGCCTATTACAGTTTTGATCATGGACTGTCACCTGCTAAATGGGATTTACATATAACAGATTTACGTTTATCAGACACAGCTCATTATCAATGTCATGTTATCCAAAAAGATGGTCGTATTTCAGCTCGATCTAATGTTAAGCTTGTCGTTGAAGGTAAATGCAAGTATGGATCAAAGGAATAATGATTAATTGAGATATACATATATATACACACATATGCACTGAATGTTTATATGAACAGAAGAAGAAGAAAAAAGGGGACCAGACATATCTTATAGACAGAAAAGATAACCACGGTTGATTAAAAGTTGGAGAGTAAACAGATATATTGCAAGAATAGAGTAATCAAAAATAAAACTAAAAACTAAACATTGAATATAAATACAAAAACAAATGAGTGAAAAAATGACATTCTAAATATTTCTAGACGTTATTGTTAGAATTCAACCAAGCGATGTTCTTGTTTCTGTTGGTGATAAAACAGAATTTTCTTGTAATTTTACTGGACAACATCGAATACTACGTGACAAAATAACATGGCTTAAAGGTAAAAATTTAAAACCAAAAAATTTCGTTTTAAAAATCATTTTCCTATTTAATAGACGGTAAACCAATTACAACTGACACCAGTCATGTAACAACATCAACGGAATTAGTCGATGCAACAGTAACTGTTTTACATATCACTGCATCTCGTCCAAGTGATGGTGGTTCATATCGATGTTCCGATGGTCATAGTGCTCAAAGTAAAGAAGCGAGATTATATTTACGTGATGACAATGCGCATACTTTTCTTCGTTCATTATCATCTGCAGCTTCCTCTTTTTCAAAATCTTTATCATCTCGAACAGTTTTTTGTTTATTCATATTTCTTTTTTTTTCTTTTTAATAATGTCACTTTTTACAGTACCCCCCACGAAGAAGAAAAAAAAGAGCGTAGAGCTGATATCTTATCTTATTCATTTACTCATCTGTTTGATAAACATCAACATTCAAAACAGCAGAGTCGACATGCTTAACGCTGTCCCATCGAAAGACCCAGCTCTTCAAATTGAAGTAACATCACCTGAAATTCGTGGCATAGGTTCGAAACGATATGTTGATTATACAGTGAAAGTAAAAACAACATTGCCAGTATTCAGTCAACATGAATCTGTTATTCATCGACGTTATTCAGATTTTGAATGGTTACACAATGAATTAGAATCGGCAGATACAAAAATAGCTGTACCACATTTACCTGATAAGGCTTGGCAAAGACAATTACCATTTCGTAAAGACAATGGTCTTTTTCAAGATGATTTCATTGAAGAACGACGACAAGGTTTAGAAGCGTTTATCAATAAAATAGCTGCTCATCCATTAGCTCAAAATGAACGTGCTCTGCATGTGTTTTTATTTGAACCGGAAATTGATTTAACAAAATATGTACGAGGCAAAATAAAAAAATAAATGATATTAATTAAAAGACTTTCATTGCCTGACTTTTCTTTTTATATTTTTAAAAAGTTGTCATATTTTCTGTTCGTTTTTTATTTGATACATTTTCGAAATTGCTCTATTAAAATATCCTGATTAAGATTCGATCCAATAACAACAAAACAATTCCGTAAATTATCATAATGATTTTCATTTGTGCATATGAATTCATACATTTGACCAACAGCTTGAAGAATTCTATAAGTTGTTTCATTACGTAGACAAAGAACACCCTGAATAGAGCCATCAAAGAAAAAAAAATAATAAGTTCGAGAAAAGAATAAATTGATTGCTTTACTTTCATTCGAACGATTTCTTGAGTTGTATTTTGTTCGTTCCATAAAATTTGTATAATAAGTTGATCAAGTTCATCAAAATCAAATTCACCATCTAATTCAATTGTAATGGAATTAAGTGTCTAGAAAATTTTGACAAAGAAATGAAATGAAACGATTTATATTTATTCACAATATACTTGATATCCATGTGGAACTGATATTGTTGATTGATTGTCAATTTTTTTCAAGAGATAATCAGTCGATGAATTGTTACTATATGCACGTCGATCGAGTATAAGATTTAGGTCAATACTAAAAACATATGATTATATTTAATTTTTCAACAAGAACATACCATAAGATTTACCGTGCACGTGTAGTTTCATAGATTTGAGCCGTTACATTAATAGAACTAACAAAGAAGAGACTACTTTGATTGACTGATTGAAATAGTTTATTGTAACATACCGAACAATTGAAAGTATTTTGATTTTTTCTTCTTCCGAGATTAGATCGATTTTATTGACTAATATGACGTCAGCCATTGCTGCTTGTCTATTTATTAGAAATCTTTCATAGATATAACAGCAAATTTTCTTTGAAAATCAAATACCTTAACCATAATGCTTTTGCTTGATGACGATCATCTTCATAATTCTATATGTATAATGGAAGAAAATTTGTATTCAAATTTTTTACTTTTAATCCATTGTGAGCATCGATTACAGTTATTAAACCTATGAAAAGTAATCAACACGTTTTCAAAATTTGTTTTCTTCTCTCCTACCATCAAGAATTAAATCACTATGTAATTCCTCATCAAGCCAAAACATTTTCACAATTGGTAATGGATCAGCAACACCAGTTGTTTCCAATAGAATATAATCGAAATGATTTCGTCGTTTTTCAAGCAACTGCTCAATAGCTTGTACACCTACATCCCTTTTTCGAAGGGGATAAAGAAAGAAAAACATATTGAATTGTTTCGATTTGTTTTGTTTTAAATTTCAAATCAATACTTGACAGAACAGCATAAACAACCGTTGCGTAGTTCAAGCCAATCTTGGTACTGTTCCCGCCCATTACCATTACTATCATCTTTCGTTGCTGTTAATAGCAAATGTTCCATAGCACTGCCTTGAGCAAATTCATTTAGAATAACAGCAATACGTTTTTGATGATTTTCAGTTAGAATATAGTTTAGTAATGTTGTTTTACCAGCACCTAACAACAGATAATAGATATTAAAAGATCGTATCAGATATATTTAAATCTAAAAAAAGTATACCTAAATAACCAGTAAGAATAGTAACAGGTACTTTAATAGATACTGTAGTTGTTTCATCAACTAATGCTGGTACAGAATCATCGTCAATATCGTTATCCATCTAAATCAATAAAATGTGTAATATTATTTTTTTGCATATGTTTTCAATCAATTCTGTTTGTTTTTCTCCTTTTTTTTCAAAAGAAAAAACTGTTTTAATGTGAGGATTTTTTTGTTTTGTTTGTATAAGTGAACGTTACAACAGTAGAATTGAAAGAAAGTGAGATGTTGAAAAGAGCTTTCCTCTGTTTGCATGTGTTTATTTTATTCAATGTCTTTGCTCTCGAATTTATGATTTCAAACGATCTAACTTGACTATAGAGTATTGATCGGGTTTAAACGAAAAAGGTACATTTCTATTAGTATTTAGATGCTCCATTGAATATATCTTGTCGAATAGACTAAAGCGGCCTCTAAATTTATCAGAGATGGCAGAGACTAGCGATTACTTTTTTTAAATATTTGTCTCTTTTAGAAATTTTACTTGAATAAGAAATCATGGCAGGTTATATAACTCTTAATCGTCTTTCACTCGTTCAATTACATTGTGAAGAACGTAAACAAAGAGCTCATTTAAAAAAAATAGCTGAAATGCAACAACGAAGTGGTGTAGATAATGGCAAGCCGACATATTTTCCTCATCTTAACAATAATTTTAACAGTCAAAAAAAAGAAAAAAGTAAAGAAATTGAGAAAGAAAATAATAGCAAATCAAAAAAATTACTCGAGATTATGCAATCAAAAGCAACTTATTCACCATCAACACAAATTCATCATACGAGTCCAAAACGTCATCATCCAACATTAACTTTATCACAAGACAATGCTGAATTTCTTGAAAGAGTTTCAAAAGTTAAAGGTATTTATGATACACGTGAATGGAAACGAGGATATGAAGAACATAAAGAGCATTTACGAATAGGTAAAAATAATAAATTATTTACACCACGTGAAATTGGTGTTAATCGACAACGAATCGCATCTATTACAACAGCGAATAGCAGACGATCAACATTTTCATCCTCAACAATGAATCTTCATCGCTCATCGAACAATAATGCATAAATTCTAATTTATCTTTTTTCCGTGTAAAGTCGTGCTCTTTTTTTTTTAAATATTAATTTTATTCGTTATTATATGCAATCATTTAAGATTTAACAAAACTAAAGTATTCGAAATATATGGAATTTTTCGAAATATTGTCGAAGTTTCAAGTGTTACGTTTCTTTTTCCTACTCATGGTAAGCGACAAATGTATTGATTAGTGATGAAAGGCAACTTATGGCCAATAACAACGGCTGCTTTTTTTTTCTAAAAGGAATTAAACATTGTTTTCATTTCGAACACATTCGTTGGCAAGGTCGCAAATCAATAAAAAAAAAGGCGTTTATGAAAGAATATACAAGGTTCTACTAGTATTATGAGTATGGACGTTGGAAATTAACTCTAAAGAACATCGAAAGGTTTACTCGAATGCTATGCTAACTTCACCTACCGGATGGTCACTTAATACTTCTCACCGAGATAGCTTGAGTAAATTATAATCTAAAAAAATGCTACTATACTTTAAGCGAACAGCTAGTCATCGTAAAACGCCCGTTTACAAAAGTATACGATAGAAAAACGGCAATCGTTGTCTGGATTGTTTACGGTCATCGGCTCCGACCGTTTACAGCTAGCGTTTAGTTACGATGGCCGTTTACGGAGATTTTTTACGGTCTTCGTAAACGAGGGGCCGTGTTTCATCGTAACACTTCGTTTACGACAACAGTAAACGACTACAAAATACGGTCGCCGTTTTTCTCCGTGAGTGATAGGTATACGACCGTTTACAACTCGGGATGATCGACCTTGGAATTAATATCCTATTAGTTATTATTGTTTTAATTTAATCATGTTCAAACTAGTCAAGTTTATATAAATATGTTTGGTATTGTGGTAAGAATTTGTTCAGTCACATCTAGTCCACGCCCTTTCATCTGGTTGATAGATGGCGTCCTCATCTACAAACAAATATTACTGAACATATTTACTAAAAGAATCTTCGGATGAGTTGAGTTCTTTATTTAGAAATCTATTGATTACATCAGAATAAGGAAATTACAAAGTTGTTAAATTCTAAAAAACATCGAGGATGATACAGTCTTTTTGATTGGTTTATATTTGACCACACCACACCTTTTAATTACGGTGTTCTTTGTCTTCACATTTTTATTCTTGCTTTGAGCTACTCTAGTTTATTAATTTATATCGGAACTTCATAGAACACAAAGAAACAGTTATTTTTCTTTTTAAGTTTTCTTTGAAAATTTTCTTTTCTTCATTCGACTGGGAAAATTCAAGATTTCATCGAACTTCCATATATTCTAGAATCTTGCTATGAACATCGACCAGGAATATTTTTAATAATATTGAACACTTATGCTCAATAGCACATGAGATTTTTTTGTAAACAATGACACAGAAATAAGCCACATTTATGTTTGATTATAAATAAGCGAGAGACATGAAATTTAACATTTAAGTTGATCCGTCTTGTATCTTTTCATCCACCTCCTCACATACATTACTCTTCTTACTCGCTGTCAGTTCGTGCCGATTAAAGACAGAAAAAGAGTGTTCAACTGTACATATAACGATGTTATTTCTTTATATATTTATGTACACATATGTATAGCTTGCATCCCTGGGTGACATACAGTCGCACAAAAGGAACACAAACACACTTGAACATATACTTATACATGCATATAGGGTGACTATACATCATCGCGTTCAGCAATAACAATGATGACGATGAAAATAAAAAAAAGAAATGAGAAGAGTAAGAGAAAAGAAAGAAAAGGTATTCGATGGTAATGATATCTTCGCGCAACTACAGCATCCCTATTAAACAGCCGAACTATCGAGATCGATCGGGGAGTAAACGTTTCATATTAAAGTATGCCAAGTGAATAAAAAACATAGTCAACGTCGTAGACTTTTTAAAATTTTTTGGCTTACATCCACAAATATGACAACAACTGATGATAGCCTATTGCATTCAGGTTATTTATTCAGTCGACCCTCGCTTTCATTTTCACCTTCTTGTTTCAAGAGTACTGCCGGACTTATGCATCGTTGTTTAAGTGAGTGTTACTGGATGTTTGTTCTCTTTTTTTTTTAAATTTATAGGAATACGAGATGAAAGGTAATAATAGAGTTCATGTTAATCTCAATAGTTGAATTTTTTTTCTTCTCATCATATTCAGTTAATATTGCAGTATTACTTTTCTTTCGCTTCGATACAAAAGTACGTATGTAAAACTAATTTTATGATGCGTAAAAAGGACTTGCGTACTTATTCTTCATGATTGTATATAAATTTGATCGATCCACATTTTTATAAATATTCCTTAAACAAACATGTTGCTCTGTGTCTCTCGCTCTTCGAGAAGGAAAAAGTTCATTTGATTGTGAATTAAATTTCGAACGTGCCATTTAACACTCGACACTCGCCTACGATATCGGCAATCACAGCTATTGTTCACTTTGACATTTTTCATTTTGTTTTTTTTTTCTTTCTCTAGATTCGAGGTTGTTATATTTCTATCGGTGTAGTGTCTGTCTATTTGTTAGTCAGTCAGTCAGTTCTGCGCCTATTCTGTTTCTACCAAATTTATATTTTCTTCACATGTTGTGCCCATCGTTATTGTTGTTGTCGTTCGATGCATCATAAAAGATATGAAACTCGTCGTCAGTCAACATCAATATCATCACCACATCATTATCGATTGGCAACAAGATCTTCAATACTTAAATTAAATAAACCAATAAAAGTTAAACGTTTAATTAAATCTTCAACATTAAGAAACGGTATAAATTATATATATGTATGAAATAATATTTATATTCACATCTAGTTTTTTAATCTTTTTCTCGTTGATCTATCAGATTTTAATAAAATCTAATGGGTCATCACTACAGCATCGATATTCAACCAAGGAGTATGCCTCATTGTTTTTTCGATGATTATATTGTTCATATGTTAGTGATAATCTCCTAATTAATAGTGATGATGTTTCTTTAGAAAAGATTAGTTTAGCTTCTTTTCATAGTCTTTGATAGATGATAGTAGTGTCGATGCCACATGGTCTCGATCTCATCATCCTTTCGCAACCAAATGTATAAATAGCAACCGAGAAAGAAAGAAAGAACGAATGATTGTATGCTTGAGGATAATGATTAGTTAGTATGTACACATACATATATATGTTTGTACGATTACGTTTTGTTTGCATGGTTTATGTACTTTTTATTTTATAAAAAAAAGAATATAAGTGACTAAAGTTTCAAGGGTGAGTGCTATTTCATGAGGTCAGTAGGTATCAACTTATTTTGCTTTTGTTTTATTGTATGTACTATACGTCCTTATCTTATTATATACGTACTTTCTTATCATTAGTTCATTTTTATTGATGTATCATTGATTTAGACGAAAATCGACTGACCAATAAACGAACCAGTGAATGCTATCAACATTCAACACCTTTAACAACTGGCAATATTGCCTTATTTGCACAAAAGACACAGTCTTCATCTCCGTTATATATAAATCGTCGTAGACAAACGACTCTTGGGAATATGACATCATATTCAGCGCTTAAACGTAAAGCACAACGATCAGATATATCATCCAGTGTATCACGAGTATGCTATTTCGGTTGAAGTATTATATAATCTTGATGATAATTTCGTTTAGTTTCAAGTTAATCTTGAACATGTCCTTGGTTTTACATCAATTTCAAATGCAGTTGTTGGTCAAGATCATTCAACAATAGCTTATGCTGCTGGGTAATAGCAGACTTGAAAAAGAAATTGAATTAATTTTAATCGATATTTTTTTCTTTTAGTTCGACTGTTGTTCTTTACGATATAAACACACAAAAACAAGATTTTATTATTAATGCTGCTCGCAAAGCTATTACATCACTGTCAATTTCACCCGATGGCCGATATGTGGCAACAGGCGAAGTACATATTTTATTTATAATTTTCAAAAAAGAAACGAACCATTTTATCTATGAAAATATTTCTAGTGTGGACATGATCCTAAAGTACGTGTTTGGGATTTAACTGGTGATAGAACTGTTTGTATTGAATTGGGTGATCATAAATTTGCTATTGATGCTGTGGTAAGTAGATTTTCATTGTTATGTAATAGAGATTAGTATGAATTCTTTGTTCTGATTGTATTTATTTATTAGAAGAAAGCTTACAGTTAATTATTTATTAACTTTAAAATGAAAACTTTCTAAATTTTCTTTTAGTGTTTTTCACCGAACGTTGATCGTTTGGTTTCAATTGGTTCTTTACATGATGGAAATATATATGTTTGGAGTTGGCAAGAAAAGAAAAAACTGGCGTCAAATAAATGTACATGTTCTGTAAGAGCATTCATAATAGTAGCATTCTTAAATTGTTACCTTAAAAGTTTTAGATTCGTCGTATTGCTTTTTCTGAAGATGGAAGTTATTTTGTTACCGTTGGTAATCGTCATGTAAAATTTTGGTATTTAATTTCAACCGCATCGGTATAATGTTTTGTTTAATTTTAATATACAACCAATTGAGTTCTTCTTCACAATAGCTTGAAGTTGTACCATTACGTGGCCGTTATGCAATCTTAGCTGAACGTAAGGATAACTTTTTTACTGATGTTGTTTGTGGACGTGGTGATTGTGCTGGTATGACTTATGTTATTACTGCAAATGGTCTCATTTGTCAATTTGATGAACATCGACAATTGCGTGGTGAACGAGATCTTCAAGTAATAACAAAACCATTTTTTGTTTCGTTCTAAACAAAACAAACATGTTTTATGCTTTTTCTTGTTAGGAAAAAACAAATTGCTTAGCTATTGGTGATGCATATCTTGTTGTTGGATGTGGTAAAGGTGCTGTCTATATATTTTCACCACAAACTCTCGAATATATTATGTCAATACCTTTACCACATTATTTGGGTGTTGATATTGGTTTTATAACATCGATTGAGTAAGTTATCAGAATGATTTGTTTTTATGAT